TCACACTTCAAAACGACCTTGACAGATTAGAGAACTGGGCCAAAAGAAACAAGATGAACTTTAACAGGGAGAAATGTAAAGTATTGCACTTGGGCAACAAAAATGAGAGGCACAAATACAAGATGGGGGACACCTGGCTTGAGAGCAGTACATGTGAAAAGGATCTAGGAGTCTTGGTTGACCACAAACTTGACATGAGCCAACAGTGTGACGCGGCAGCTAAAAAAACCAATGCAATTCTGGGCTGCATCAATAGGAGTATAGCATCTAGATCAAGGGAAGTAATAGTGCCGCTGTATTCTGCTCTGGTCAGACCTCACCTGGAGTACTGTGTCCAGTTCTGGGCACCACAGTTCAAGAAGGACACTGACAAACTGGAACGTGCCCAGAGGGGGGCAACCAAAATGGTCAAAGGCCTGGAAACGATGCCTTATGAGGAACGGCTAAGGGAGCTGGGCATGTTTAGCCTGGAGAAGAGGAGGTTAAGGGGTGATATGATAGCCATGTTCAAATATATAAAAGGATGTCATATAGAGGAGGGAGAAAGGTTGTTTTCTGCTGCTCCAGAGAAGCGGACACGGAGCAATGGATCCAAACTACAAGAAAGAAGATTCCACCTAAACATTAGGAAGAACTTCCTGACAGTAAGAGCTGTTTGACAGTGGAATTTGCTGCCAAGGAGTGTGGTGGAGTCTCCTACTTTGGAGGTCTTTAAGCAGAGGCTTGACAGCCATATGTCAGGAGTGCTCTGATGGTGTTTCCTGCTTGGCAGGGGGTTGGACTCGATGGCCCTTGTGGTCTCTTCCAACTCTATGATTCTATGATTCTAAGTCCTAGGCTCTGGTTTAACCCACAGCGCCACCCACATCCCTCTTTAAAGCACATACAAATTCATAATTAGGTGAAATGAGCCTTGATCATTTTTTCCTGCAAATAAAGGGCAGAAAATGTGATCTGCTAATGGTAAGGCTGAAATGACTGAGAATATTAAAAATCTTATGAACCGTGACTGTCTGGCCATTTTCACTTAAACACAAGAGGGCGGTCGATTGTTCTGCTAATGATGGGGGGGGTGATGACACAAAATAATAACAACCCACATTTGTGAAACATTTTTGAAAAGCGATCTGTACCCCTAACTCCTGTAGATAAAGAAGGCATGTAGCTCCCAATTTTCTTTGCCTGGGGTGCAGACATGCAGGAAACGTCATCAATTAGTGCTGAGACTTGATTAGGAATTTAATTTGACCTAACTTTTATTACTGGCTTTCGGTGGAAAAGTTGAGTTGTTGGGTTGTCTGAATGGTGAAATTCTGATCTGTTTAAAGTTTAAGATTTATAAGCCTGCTTCCTAAGCAGCAAGAAACAGGAAAGCATATGTATCAAAAATGTCTTAGGACATCAAACTGGGAAAATGGATTTTAAATTGACTAAACAAGTTTTCGGCCCTTGGGAATTTGGTCTCTTACATCTACCCCTTCCTTGAGTCCCTAGTAAGAAAAGCCAATCATGGCTTTATTCCAATGGTAATTTAGTCAGGGGATGTAACACTTTAAATGGTATAATAGATTGCTGAATCATGAACCCTGTGCATGTACAGAGGCTATGTTAGTTGAAAAGAAAAGAAAAAGGAGGTTTAAGCCAAGAGGAGACAAAGCTATGCCCTGCACATGGTACTTTATTCAAATTTCTTTAGGTAAAATTGGGAGCCATTGAGGAAACTGCAGTGAGAACTACTCCTTTGTGGGCTTTGTGTAAAAATGTAAGTTGCCCTAAATCTTTGCCCCAGGGGCTACTTGCGAAGAAACAATAGTTAAGTACAGAACCATTAACAGCTATCAACAATAGAAAAAAGGTTCCCAGATTTTAATCTAACCTGCAAATTTTCGTATGTATTTCAACTATATGTAATAGCCTTTTTTTCTATTTTGGTGTGACCTTATTCTTAGCAATTCTATACCCATGGCCACACAGTGATTTATTTATTTTTACAGAAAGTAGCTTTAATGCTTTACACTTAAGTACCTAGGCCTATACAATTATGTTTAACGGCATGTGAGGTGGCCTTGATTTAAACAGTTGACGTTTCTATATTTTTATTTAGTGCCAGTAACTGGTTTTTGCAGTGCTATTCAAAGGTAAAGGTAAAGGTACCCCTGCCCGTACGGGCCAGTCTTGACAGACTCTAGGGTTGTGCGCCCATCTCACTTAAGAGGCCGGGGGCCAGCGCTCTCCGGAGACACTTCCGGGTCACATGGCCAGCGTGACAAGCTGCATCTGGCGAGCCAGCGCAGCACACGGAAACGCCGTTTACCTTCCCGCCAGTAAGCGGTCCCTATTTATCTACTTGCACCCGGAGGTGCTTTCGAACTGCTAGGTTGGCAGGTGCTGGGACCGAGCAACGGGAGCGCACCCCGCCGCGGGGATTCGAACCGCCGACCTTTCGATCGGCAAGCCCTAGGCGCTGAGGCTTTTACCCACAACGCCACCCGCGTCCCCTGCTATTCAAAGGTACAAGGTGCCATTTACCAGAGATTGACATACTGAAATATATTATCATATAATGATAATGATTACTCCAAGACCAAAATTATGGTCTTTGGGAAGCGTAGTCCCAGATCCAAATGGAAAATGGATCAGCAGAATCTGGAGCAAACATGCTCCTTCAGATATCTGGGAGTTCTCTTCACTGAGATGCTGTCATGGAAGGGGCACGTTGAGGCTACGAAACTCAAAGCGCAGAAAGCTTGTGAGGCATTAATGAAATTCTATTTTACGGTGGGTGGCCAGTTACTAGAACCTGTGTTGAAAATCTTTGACAGCGAAGTGGTTTCCCAGATGCTCTATGGAATAGCGATATGGGGCATGGACCCAAAGGCTAACAAAGCCTTAGAAATAGTGCAGAACAAATTCCTCAGGAAAGTGCTCTCGCTCCCCAACGGGATCCCAGTGAGATACAAGCCTCTCTTACTACACATTATGCACTGAATGAAAGGCTACTTTGCTTGCTCCATTTTCTCCAGACAGTAGGATAACTTCTACTGTGAGTTATCATGCACAGATGCATGTGCAAGCATTTTACACCATGAATGAAAAAGCTACTCAGAGTGGCTGGGGCAACCTAGTCAGATGGGCAGCCTATAAATGATGATGATGATGTGAAGAGTAGGGAACACCTATTGATACATCACTGGGGAGTAGATTGAACTGTGCACACAGTTGTGTATGTGGGCAAGGTCCCTTTAACCAGAGCAACTGGTAAGGCTGCAAGTGCAAACTCCCCCTGTCTGTCCTAGCAAATGCACAAAACAGCATTAATGGAGAACAGCAGTCATGATCCAGCTTCCATGCTGAGCATGCAGAGTCACACACTCTGCCATGGAGACACATCCAAACCTTTGGACTTTCCTTTGCAAGCAAAGTGCAGCTCTGCCTCTTCATAGGTGCTTGGATTGTGGCTTTTTTGTGTATCTTAGCACAACCATTTCTTCAAGGAGTCAAGAGGTTGGAAGATGCAATGGAATAAGCTAGTTGAGGGTGTTCACACTGAAAAAAATGCACACTTAAGTTTTTGTTGGTGCAAATGTGGTTTCGTTTTTTGTTTTACATACAAACTTGATTTTCCTGGTGTATATATTTTATACTTAACAAAGGGTTAATTTTGCCACTGTATTTATTTTTGTTTAACTGATTTGAACCTAAATGTCACTTTCAAAATGAGAATTCTGCCTCTGTCTCTTTCCCTTCATTGTGACTATGAGCCTGCAGCTGTAGTTCAGGTACTTCTGAGCTGGAAATGTAACTCCAATTGCTTCATTGTGCAGTAAAAAAAAATGTGGCTTCACACAACAAATTCCTGACTATTGTGGTTCACATATTTTCTAGACTGATTGTGATGTCAAGGGCTTGGCCTTTTGCAATCCTTGCATCTTTCAAGGCAGTCACTGCTGTTTCTATTATTTGGGCAGCACAGGATCATGGCTGAGAGATAATGAGGTTCTGTCAGCCATGATATTGCCCAAATATTTTCAAGCATCCCTGCATGATCCCCAAAATGGAACGTATTATGTAGCAAATAAGATGCTATTCAGATTATGCTGTATTCAAGCAGCCTGCTCAAGACATTTCTTTATGAAAGCTGCTTTGCAAGGGCTTATTAATGCATTATATTACAAGCACATGCAAACAAAGTGCTAAATGTGAAAGTGGCTTGTCTCTCTGGACCCAACTAAGTGCCACACTGCATCAAAAGAGCGAAGGATCCACTGACTTGCTAAATGTCACAGAATGTCTACACCACTTAAGGTGCCTCTGTTCTGGAGGGCCAGCTGACATTGTAGGTTTAGCAGTGTGAAGCTACTCAAATGTCAGGCTTATTCCTACAGACTTTTATCTGTCTTTGATAAGCACAGAGTGACTGAAGGGTGTCTTGTGCCCCTTCCTTTGGGGTTGCAAGAAGATGCAAGGATCAAACATGGAATTAGGAGCATTGATTTTGGTTTAAACTTCGGGATAGACAAGAAAACTATTCTAAAGGGGGAGGTCTGTTATACTTACAGGTGCCTGCTGAGCAAGATAAGTTGCTTTTAAGCCTGCAGTGGTATTAAGAAGCAATACTCTATGAACAAAGGTTTAAATAAAGACCATCTTTTTCTAGGAAGCCTCTCATGTATTGCAGTCTCCTGCCTTTGAAGCTCTATAAAAGGGCAAGATCTGAATTACTAAAAGGGGTAAGCGAACATTCCTGCCAATTGGTGTGTTTTTACTTTGGCCATCAGCTCGACAACAGCAAGCTAACTTTCTGAGAGCTGCAGGAAGGGCTCTGGCGAGGAGATAATTTACATTATCCTGGACTCAATGGGCCACTGGCACAATGACACAGAGAGGACAGTCCGCTTGCCACAAATGTCCCAGAGGAAAAACAAGAAAAGGCTTCCTTGTAGCAAGAGGGCTGATTCCCTCCTTGCAAGCACTGAAAGAATCCACAATACCCAACAAGGCCCTCTTCAAAAGGATTCCTTTTATTTTCATGTGAAACTTAGCTGCATATTTCTGGCCTGGTTACAACGACAATTCCAGAGTTGTCCACCCCCCCCCCGGCTTGCCCCGTCATAGCACACCCAGAAATTGCAACTACCTTTCTTCTGGAGTGCTTTATAGAGATTCCCTTCCCTTCGGGGCCTTGAGACAGATTCAGTTAAGAGTGAAGATTAAATAAAGTCAGGCAAAACTTGCAACTGGTACATTTGGAGAGGCTGCCCCCCCCCCCCCAGGGGAGGTGAGCAAAGATTAGCCCTGCAGCTGGTCTGAGGCACCTGAAAGCCCAGGGACGTCTCTGCCAACCAACACAAGGCAGACTTCCCCAACCTGTGCCCTCCAATGTTTTGGATGACCCCCCCCCATTAGCCAAAGCATCCCACAGCTCTGCTGGCTAGCCCCCCACTCCCCACCCAGGAGTGGTACTACCAAATAGTTGGACGGCACCGCCTTGGCAAAGGCTGCTGCTCTGAGGGACTTCCTGTGGTGTGGCTTCACATTTGCTTCCCTCCTGCCAGTTTCTGAAACAACGTTTGAAGGAGGTGGAGCCAGCTCACCTCTTTGCTTGCTACCCAGCCCCTCTGTGCCTCTGGAGAGGGAGGAGGTGGTGGCGGCGGCACTGCTGCCTCGCCCTGACCCCCAGCCCCCTCCCCTGGGTTTATTGCTAGCTAAGGCCACATGGTCTGCAGGCAACAGAAAAACAGGCAAAATTTACTCCTATGCTGCTCCTATTCCCCGTAGCACCTGCTTTAAGAACTGTACTCATCTTAAAACAGACAAAAACGCACTTTCTAGAGGAAAGGGAGATAATATGCACTATAAGAAGGCAACATGAGTTTCCCTTTTGGTCAAGAGAACCTGCTTTATAGCAGTCCCTTTCTCCCTTTTAATATGGGGAATTGGGTACTGAGTTAGGTTTCTCTCAATTCCCTTTTTTTCTTTTTTTTAAAAACCCAAACACTCCTATACACACAAAGACCCTTGTAAAGCACTTGTGTGGCACAGAAGGTCTTGTGCCCACTGGAGTAGCAAACAGCTGGGGTTGAGATAGTGTTAAAGGCTGGAAGGAAATAGGGCATTATGCCTAGAGCATCCTTCCCCATACCTGGAGGGTGCCAGGTTAAGGTAAGGATGCTCATGGCACTGTCCCCAACAGACAGTGGCTGCTGTTCGCTGGATTCAAAGACAACCTGGATGACTTGCTGCGTCTTTGACCGGCAATGAGATGATGCTCACACAAACCTTCCTCAAACAGGGCAAGTTCCCTGCAGTGCTGGACACTAGCCAAAGTGCCCCCCCCCCCTTTTCAGAAAAAAGTTGAAGGCAGCCCAAGGAGTTCGTCTTTTAAGTCCAAAGTTCAGAGCACACAAAAGGAGAATGAAGCTTGAGATGTGGGGACGGCTCCTGTAGATCTGCCGCAAATTGTCCCCACAAAGGACATTTGTAGCCTGGCGCAAGGTGCAGCCAGCCCTGGGCAGCTGAGCCCATGTGCTTCTCAGCACTGAGAAAGGATTAGGCTCTTCCTTTTGCTTTGAGAGACAGAGAGAGAGGGTTGCGGGAGCTCCGCCTGCCTATTTGTCAAGGAGGGAGCGCTGGAGAGCTCGCTGCAGCTCTGCCTCCTCCTCCTCCTGCTGCCGCCGCTCCAGGTCCTGCTGCTCACGAACGGAAAGCTCCATAGCCAGGCGCAGGTCCCGATCGAAACTGGAAGATTCCTGCAGAGAGGCGGAGGCTGGAGTAGCCAAGAAGCTTTCCTGCAAAGCCCTGGGGGAGAGGAAGAGAGATGGAGTGAAACACTTTTAACCAGCTGCCCAACACAGAGCCTGCTTTCCTAACACCCCCTGGCTTTCTGGGGCAAAGCCCCCCACCCCCCAATGCATGGAGAGCAACGCTCCCGAGCAGAGGCATCAAGGACCTGCTGGAACAGCTGTGAGAGCTAGAGCCACAGCAAGGAAATGCCTGGGTCTTGCCAGGAAGCCGCTATGCCTCCACACCCCCTCCCAGGTCAGTGTTTGCAGGGAACTTAACTGGACCAGCCGAATGATGCACAGGTGCTTAGGATGTATATTCATCCTCCCCACCGCCCTTTGTGGGCAACTTTTGTGTTTCTCACTCTCACATACTCAATTTTCATGGAAGGAAAGGAGGCAGGAATGGCTTTAAATGAGGGTTAGAAGGCTATCGGCCGCCACTAGCCAGGATGGCTCTGCTCTGCCACCACGGCTACACTTCTGAACACCAGTTGCTGGAAGCCACAAGAGGGAGAGGTGCCCTGCTCTTTGGTTCAGGTCCTGCTTGCTGGTTTCCCGCAGGCATCTGGTTGGCCACCCTGAGGACAGGGTGCTGGACTAGATGGGTCCCCCTTGGCTTGATCCAGCAGGCGCTTCGGATGGTCATAAAAGTCTCCCACCCACAACCAGAAAAGGCAGAAGATGCTGCAGAAGCTACACAGAAAAGGAGTGATGACAGGCTCAGCCTGAACTAAGACCATAATGCCCCCTCCTTTTACGTGGTCCCTCCAAGGCCTGGAAAGGGGGGGAATCAACTAATGATGGGCAGATGGTGAATGAGAGAGAGAGAGAGAGAGAGAGAGAGAGAGAGAGAGAGAGAGAGAATGGGTGGATGAATGAACCAGGACTGTCCCACACACTTCTTGCTTTGGGTCCACTCAGGGTTGTTGATATGTGGCCTCTGATCACCTTCCCACAAGGGAATGTGGTCCCCAACTTCGAAAGGGCCACCCACCCCTGCTATGAGCAGCTGCAGCAGAGTTGGTGAAAAGCACTTAGCAGCCCTGCACATTCCACGTATTCCATCCCTCTCCCACCAGAAACCCCTGGGAGATGGGAGCTCCTGAATGGGAAGGCCAGGCAAGGGAGCGTGAGATACTCACTGTCACTAGCAACAGATGCTCCAAGCCAGGGCTGGGGAACACCTGGAGCTCTCCAGCTGTTGCTGGGAATCCAACTCCCATCAGATCCAGTCAGGACGACGTGGTCAGGGATGATGGGAGCTGGAGTTTAATAACAGATTCCTCTGGTTCCTCCTCCCTGCTCTACAGTAAACCCTGGATGGGGCTCAGCTTCCTAGCACCTGGTGGTGAGTAACTCCTCATGTTTAGCAAGAAGGAACAATACCTTTGATACTGAAGGTTGAGGTCCTGTGAGTAAGAGACAGCCCCATTCAAGTCTGGTCCCAAAGCCTCCTGAGAAAGACACCAGAGCAGTTAATACCAGTGTCAATTTGAGACGTACACTCACACATCATGCAGAAGTGGCTGTGCTGGGGGTTTAATACCATTGATATCTTTTCTAACCCACTTTTCTATTGGATGCATTAAAGTGACTTACAAAAACTCAGAACAAACCAATCTAAAAAACTAAACACGGCAAGATGTGATAATAGTAAAACACTAGCATTAAACTAGCATGTTAATTCAGAAGCCAAACAATCCTTAAAAGTAGCAACATTAAACATGAAAGCCTTAGTGGTTTTGCTGTGGGTTTTTTAAAGTCTCCAGTGGTTGCCAAAAAGCAAACACATGAAGGAGCTTGGTGGATCTCTCCTAAAATGGAGATCTAATACTGCCCTCAGCTCAGTGGCAGAGCTCATATTTGACATGCAGAGGGTTCTGGGTTTTATCCCTGACATCGCAGACAGGGCTGGGGAAGGAGACGTGACTGAAACCAGAGCGGCTGCCAGTCAGTGTAGGCCAGTGATGAGGAACCTGTGGCCCACCAGAAACCGTTGAATGCCAGGTCCCATCATCCACCGCTAGCATGGCCAATGGGAGTGGTGGTCCTGCAACATCCAGAGGGCCACAGGTTCTCCATCTCCAGGAGAGACCAGTGGTCTCAGTATAAAGCAGCTTCTTGAGTTCTTTTTGACATGCATTGTTGCATTCCCAGGATGCAACAGGCTCCCTCAGAAAGTGGTGGACTCTCCTTCCTTGGAGGTTGGGGAACATGGTTCACATGCATCGTCTGAAGACCCCATTTGCCAGATCCCCTGGCCTTTCCTGTGCTCTGATTATTTCACACAAGAATTCTCCCATTATGCTGCTGTCCCAACTCCGCCTCCTCAGGTGGCCCCTTCTGCAGCGTGAGAAAAGAGCAGGGGCAAAGCTTAGCAAGGCCGTCCAAGCTCATGAGAAGTTGGCCAGGGGTGTGAGGTAAGGGAATGGGAAAAGATCCCTGAGCAAGAGAGGCTCACTCTGTTCTGGCCAGACTCCATCAGGCTCTGCTGGATAGCAAACTGCATGATCTCGTTGTCTTCATCCTGCACCCGGACATTCCTGCCATCGTCCTGAATGTGATAGGATTTAGGGATCTCAAAGACGGACTGGTCGACCACAAAGGTAGAGGCTGGAGTAGCCATGTGGGGGGGGGGGGGAAAGGACACCAAGCATTAACCCCAGGGATTGGCAGAGAGCCCATAAAGCAGAAAGCAGAGGTGTAGCAGTATTATTTCATTTGGCTTGCTGGCTTAAGGATGTAATTCTCTCTTAGGGTGAAAAATGGTTTAGCCCAAGGGTGAAGATGCTGACGATGGGCCCACAGCTCAGGCGGAGCACCTGCTTGGCACAAAGGATGCCCCAGGGTCAGTCCTGGGTGTCCCCCATTAAAAGGATACGGACTAACACGCCAGTCTTTGCTCCTCCTCCAACCCTGGATGGAATCAGCCTTGGTTGCCCTGGTGGATGGCCCGTGTCAGGAGAGGGACCGTTCCTTGATCTCTCAGCAACCTTCAATACCGCTGACTGCGGCATCTTCCTAGATAGCTTTTGTGGCATGGATATCAAGGGGAGTGGACGACTGCAGAAGGTGCAGAAACACTGGAGGAGTGCTCTTCAACTCCACAGGGCACTATTTGGTATCCACTGCTATCCAGTATCTATATGAAGCTCCTGGGAATGGCCATTAGGAGTTTGGGAGCACGGCACCATCAGTATGCAAAGCTCCAGGGCTCTGGACATATCTTGAACGAAAAATAGGGAAAGCAGGGAACACCTTTTCACCTCTATCATGGCAACCAGGTGAGCATACAATGTCCACTGCTCTATTTAACAGTAGTGCAGAATCAGATAATAGGACCACTGAACTGGTCTATCCAGTGGTACACCCCATGAGAAATCAGAAAATAGGAGAGACTTCCGCAACATGGTGGCTCTCCAGATGTTGCTGGACTCTTGCCATCTCTGACTGCTGGCCATATTGGCTGGGGCTGATGGAAGGTGGAGTTTGCAACCAGTTTGTGAAGGATGCGTTATTACGTTGAGCATTTTAATTTGTTGTGCAGTGAACATAATAAGGGATCCATAAACACCTAGAGGACCACACATTGGGGAAGATGGCACTATCTATCCCTCTGCTGCACAATGCTTTGGGAGATGATCTCAGGTGAAAAGTGGATTTTAAATATATAAAAATGAAGGAGATATCTTGCATAATTCAGCCTGTGTGAAGGCGCAACCAGGAGCAAAGAGATCCACACATTTTGTCCACTTAAATCTGACTGCCACAGAGTCTCCCAGAGGAATATCCCAATCTGGAAACCAAAGGGTTCCTCTTACTTGAGTTCCTCCCTCAAACCCTGGAGCAGCTCTCTCACCAGATGGCTGCTGTGCCCCATCTGAAGCCTGGGGAGACGCCTCTTCTGCTGTGCTGCAGCCGTTCACATTCCCAAAAGTAATGCGAGCATTCAGGATGTGGAACAATGGGATCTCTGCAGTTTGGGGGAAGGGAAGAGGGACAGGAGAGGTTGAGCAAGGTCACCAGTTATCCTCATCACCACAGTTTGCTTTGAAGGTGCCCCAAGACAAGGAGCACCGTTCAAGAGGGGAGGGGGTTGATGTCTTGAACATGGTGGCAGGTGGGGGGCAGGAAGAGGGAACCACCAGCACAAAAAGGGTCATACCGATTTTAACTGGAAATCCAGGAGGAAAGTCCAAGGTGATGAAGTCTTTGAGTTGAGCAAAATGTGCACTGGTTCTGGCCATCAAGTCCACAATGGGGGTGACCTGCTCCACAAGGGAGAGGGGAAACTGTTCGGACATCCACAAGTTGGCTTTAAACCTACCAGAGATGAAAGTGTCATAAACACATCTGCCCCAAGTAGAGAAATACAGCATGAGTCAGTAAGCAGTCCTCTTCCCCCTCTCTCTGACACAGAATGCAATGTTGATAAGGAGCTAGCAGAGAGTGGGAGGGTGAGAAGCCAGCTCGCTCAAGATGCGCAGGCTGTGTCGTACTACAGCTCCCAGATGGGTGCAGAGAATCAGTGCACGCCCTCATAGATTCGGGAGCATCCACAGACTTGGACTCGGTGGAGAGGTTGGGGTTGGCCACGCAGAGTTTGGAGCTCCCTCTAGAAGTGCAGACCATCGATGGGCACCCCTTATTGTCGGGGAGCATCTCTGACACCACGATGCCAATAGGCCTCGAGTTGCCGGGCCACCAAGAGACAATATCGTTCTTAAGCTCATCTCAAAGGGGGGGGGGATGCCAAGCCAGTAACTTAAAACATGGACCAAGTGAATGTTGTCTCTTGACTCAAGCCTTGACAAAAGCAAGCATCGCTAATGCTTCTGCACCGGGGGAAATGACATCCTTACACAAAGCAAGCAAGATTTTGGGGAGATGTTGGGCTTCTAATGGAGGCCCCCCAGCTGCAGTTGGTGGAGGATTTCTAAAATAAAAGGTGCTGTGGCTTGAGTTATCCTGGAAGACTTCTCTGACTCCCAGGTTCCTGGGGACCATGCTGTGAAGGGCTCTCTCACTGAATGGGTGCTGGGGCTCAGTGCAGGCTCAAATCAAGTGCTGTGAGGCTGCTCCAGCAGCAACTCATGGTCCAGCAGGGAGTGGGCCTGACTTCTGCAGGGAGCATCTGTTCCTCCAGAGAGAAACAGAGTGCAGGATTTGCAAGCTGGGGCGCAAGAGAAAGGGAGGGGAAACTGAATCAAAGATAACAGGACGTTCAACAGAGTAGTAGCTTTACTTCTGAGTCCGGATGGTCACTTCTTTGGGTCTCCCGATATCTCTGTCTTTCAGGTCAAACTGAGGGTTGAAATATTCCTCAGGAGTGATGGCTGTAGGGTTGTTGGTTGTGGCGTATTCTGTCGTGAGGTCCTGGGGGAAAGAGAAGAGCACAAGGTGGGTGACCAGCAAGGCTTGGCAGAAACTCTTGGCTATCTGTCCAGGTTGCCTCAAAAGCCAATGGTGTCCCCAAAACAGAAGCCCAGGAGATCAGTCGCAGTGGGCCAAGGCTTCCCAACTCAGCAGGTCAGCTGCTCAGAGGGGGATTTGGCCTCAAAGTGAGTTGGCTCATCAGGCAAAAACAGAGGGCAGGATTGGCACAGGGAAACATGAAGGTATCTGAAGGAAGACAGTCAGTGGGGGTGCAGTGGACTGTCTTAGACTAGGACCTGGGAGACCAGGGTTCAAATCCTCAGACCGGCCACTCACCCTCAGCTTCACCTACCTCACAGGGTTGTTGTGAGGAGAAAATGAGGAGAACTATGTGCACAACCTTTAGCACCATGGGAGAAAGGTGGAATATAAATGAAATAAAGTGCTGGCCTTTCACCAGAGGACTTCCAACATTTATTTGCTTTACATTTACACAAATTTATATTTTGAGGAGTTGAAGGCAGAACATCTTGGTCGGTCCCCTTGCTTGCTCCGATTACTCCGATTAGTAAGGCGTGGGGCACCTCCAGCCCTGAGGCCAAATGAGGCCTGTCAGGCTTCTGCCTCCCGCCCTACATGGCTGGGCCAAAAGGGGTCTTCCAATGCAAAGCCCCCAGCTTCCAAGTGCAGGGCAGGCCTCTCAGCTGATCAGCATTACAGGGAGCCCATCTTCAAATGAGGCTTCTCCTTTGAAGTTGGGCAGGCATTAACCACCTAACGTAATTACATAATGATGTCATTATGACATCAGCTGATTGACATACAGGTGGTCCTGCCCACCTATCAAAGTTGCTCGGATCCCTTTCTCCACCCCTGGCCTAACCGTGAGAAAATAACACAAGCTGCTGGGAAGGAGCTCAGGCCAACTCCTGCTTTTAAGTCTATGTTTATTACCCTATTTTTCGCTCTATAAGACGCACCAGACCACAAGACGCACCTAGTTTTTGGAGGAGGAAAACAAGGAAAAAAATATTCTGAATCTCAGAAGCCAGAACAGCAAGAGGGATCGCTGCACAGTGAAAGCAGCAATCCCTCTTGTTGTTCTGGCTTCTGGGATAGCTGTGCAGCCTGCATTCGCTCCATAAGACGCACACACATTTCCCCTTACTTTTTAGGAGGGAAAAAGTGAGTCTTATAGAGCAAAAAATACGGTATTTATTTTTAAATCAGCAACATACTGTGCTGTTTTATTCTTGCATTTTTTAATGCTAGCCAGTTGAGGAACCAGGAGGTTGAAATGTGGGACAGTGAGTAAATAACAGAGGAGGAGTCCTCTTTTGCTGAAGAGATCAGCCTCAAAATACATTTTGCTCCTATCTCTGTGGTATAAAAACAGGAGTTCCTTGGCTGTTGCAGAAAAAATAACACTTCATGGTTCCAGAGGGTTAGAGGATCCAGAACACTTCTAGGCTGCCTAGAGGGACTTCCCCTCATGTTTCAAACCCAGATGCACAAACCTCTTCTCTTGGACGACATCATGAAATATAAAATTCTCTCATAAGAAATTTGTTTTGTATTAAATTTGCAGCATGAACCCTACTTTGCTCCCTTACTTTTATTCATTTTCCTTTGTCTTTCTTTATGTATTTTTAATTGTACTGTTAGCAGTTTTCCAGTAAAAGACTTAAAACCATAAAAAAGGGAAAAAAGACAATGCATTTTGCTCACCTGTTGTGCCCCGTACTCATGCTCGATGGTTCCCAAAAAGGATTCAAAGGGGTTTCTGTCAGCTGGAGGAAAGGGCGGGGGAGGAAGCACAACTGCAGTGTTATCTCTGTCAGCCCCCCATGTCATGCTAAAACCTTCCCACTGGGAAGCATGAACAAGGCTGGCCTTTCAAAAGGGACTCTCCCCACAGCCCCAATGCAAGAGCTGAAGACGCCCCCATTGGATCTCCTGGATCTACTCCTGGAGGGCAGGACTGGAAAATGGAGAGGAATCTCACATCCTTTCCAGTGTGCAAGGATCATGGGAAAATGACTCTCCCTCTGCCTTAAATATGCACAGTAAACTGGTTTGTGATGGAATCTAACATACATGGACGCTGTAACAAATGATTCTGTCACTTTAACACATGACTTGAGCTGAAGAGCCACTTCTTGTGGCAGCGCTGGCAGCTCAGAAATCTTGGGTGCAAAGTGGGTCTTAACGCAGTCATTGTCATCCTGGTGCCCTCCACGCTTTTTGGATTATTATTGACAGCCATGCCGACTGGGGTTGGTGGAAGCTGTAGCCCCAAACAACTGGAGGGCTCTAGGTTGGCAAAGCCTGCCTTAAAGGATCCAAAATAAAATGTCAGGAAGTAAGGGGCAAAATTGGCAGTTGCAATTCTGCAAAACAGCCAGCAACAGATTGCCTCCACCACTTGTGCGAGGCTGGTAAGAACATAAGAAAATACAAAGAGCCTGCTGGATCTGGTCAGTGGCTCCCCTAGACAGGCGTCCTGTTCTCACAGGGGCCAACCAGATGCCTGTGGGAAACCAGCCACTAGGATTCGAGCACAAGAGCCTTTTCCCCTCTTGTGATTTCCAGCAACTGCTATGGAGAAGCATTGCGGCCTCCGACTGTGGAGGCTGAGACAGCCATCGTGGCTGGTAGCCCTCACTAGCCCTCTCCTCCTCCATGAATTTGTCTAATCCTCTTTTACAGCTATCCAAGGTGACCATCGCTGCCTCCTGTGGGAGCGAGTTCCACAGTTTAACTATGCACTGTGTGAAGGAGGACTTTTTTTCCTCTGTCCTGAATCTTCCATCCTGAATCATTGACATCCCTGAGTTCTAGTGTTAGGAGACAGGTAGAAATAAATTTCTCTATCCACTTTCTGCATGCCATGCATACTTTTATAAACTCTTGACTCGCCCTTTCTCTAAGCTAAGAAGTCCCAAATACTGCAGCCTTTCCTCACAGGGGAATTGCGCCATCCTCTTGATCATTTGGGTGGCCCTTTTCTAAACCGCTTACAACTCAAGATATCCTTAGAGGATAGCCACACTGTTCTGACTTCCAGCTCACCCCAAAGCCACATGAAACAGCAGCAGGCCCTGCTTAAAACAGAGCCCCAAAACAGACCAGCTGCTCTTCCCACAGCCCTCCCAGCCTCCTGAATTATAGAGCAGCAGCAGCATGCCTGTGAACACATTTCATTTTGCAGGGGACTGAATTTTGGCCAAGCCGTCACCAAGGAATTGGGTCGTAATGTCTGGGCTCAGAATCAAAGATGCCTTACCTGCAGGAGGGTGATCAACCTCGGCCCTCTCCTCCCACAGGACCAAATTACCTTTGTATCTCCTCTTCTCTTCTTCTGTCAAGTGCTCTGTTCTGATCTTGGTCACAACATTCACGTTGTTGGCCGTATAGACCTTGAGGGAAACAAGGAGGAGGAGGGAGAGATGTAGAGAGCCCAGCTAGTTCTGGAAGCCCCGATAGAAGTGGCTATGGGGTAACTGACAAGGAGGGTCCCAACCCATCCCCATCCTACCCCAATTCCCAACACAAAGGTGCCAAAGCACCATCTGTTGGCCAGCTAAAGCATCTCATTAGGGCTCCTCTTGTGGAAGGGTCTCCCCAGGGAGGCTCACCTGGCGCCTTCCTTACATAAAGCATTCTTCTTCCCTATCGCCTTTGGCTTATTAAACTATCTGTGGCCGTTTAAACTCTGAGGGGGAGTACTGTTTTTGTTTGCTACTATGGGATGCATTTTTGTAAACTGCCCTGTGATCCACAGTATAGAAATTTTAATAATAACAACAACATCTCAATATATAATATGCACAGTAAACTCTTTGGAGGGTACAGCTAGCCTGTGTCATTTGGAGTGTCTGTAATTCTGGTAGGAAAAAAAGGAAAATTGCATAAGAACCTCCACAGCCGTACCAAAGGCCCACTGCGTCCTTTGAAAGCAGCAGGCCAAAACACCTCTCATTAAGTTCTCCAGCAGAACTTCATAGTGAAAGAGGAACACTTGATGCCTCTCAGAGACATCCCATCATCAAAACCACCTAAGAGCATAACAGCCCTGCTGGGTCAGGCCAAGCGGGGCCCACCCAGGGCAGCCTCCTGTTCTCACAGTGGTCAACCAGGCGCCTCAAGGGGAAGCCCACAGCGCAGGACGCAAGCCATGAGCCCCCTCCCCTCCTGTGGCTTCCAGCAACTGGCATTCAGAAGCATTTACTGCCTCCAAATGAACGTCATTGATAGCCTTCTCCTTTGTGAACTTGCCCAATCTATTTAGAGCCTCTTGACATGGAGGCTGCATTTCTCTGGAATGCTGCCTAAAGCTGCCAATGGACATTTCTTCTTAAAGCCACTGAAACTGGTCCCAGAGAGTTCCAGAGGCTCATTTCACCCTGTCTTTTGCTTGTCATGAGCACACTGCCAATCCATGTTTTTGTCAGATAGCTGTACATGCTTACACTGTGAGACAATGAAGCCCATTATTTGGTGTTTGCTTTTCCCAGACCATCTGAGGCCTTGTGAACCTCATTCATGCCACTCTTCCGAATCAGAAGCAAAGGTTTTCAGGCTGCATGCACTTTTCATCAGGTGTCAAGTCCTCATGGCTGCAAATTAAAGCTCTGTGGAAGGGGGATATTTGTGGGCAACGCCTGGAGAAATCTTAAAATGCTGAGCAAGGCTCCTAGCTGTCAGGGAAAAGTGACATCAGTACAAGAGCAGCAACTGACCTTTGCATCATAATCGCTCACCAATTCACTCTTCTCAGTTCTCCAGACCCAGAAGCCAGACATATTTCTGCAAGAGACAGGAAGCTATCAAAGAATCTGTGCTTCTGCCTTTACAAACTGGCTGTTGGAAGTGCAACAGCAAGGACCATTGGGTTTGTAACTCAAGAACTGACTTTGTTAGTGTTAACTAGCCAAGAGGGTGCCAGGTGGAGGTGTTGCATGATGTACATGGAGGTAGCATGTACATGGAGGAGAACTATGGACTTGAGCACCTTGGGAGGAAAAGCAGCATATAAATGTGAAAGATAGATAGATAGATAGATAGATAGATAGATAGATGATAGATAGATAGATGATAGATAAATACATACATACATACATTCACTACCCACCTCTTTAAGGAAAGAACCAGGAAGGGACTCAAACTCCCACCAGCCCCGCGTGCACCTAGGGGAGACCATTACCACTCGAGAGAGAGAGAGAGAGAGAGAGAGAGAGAAGAGAAGAGGGGAAGGCTTCCTCCACCTCCTCAGAGGCTTTGGATATGGGGACAGACAGGGGTTGGGGAGCTCTGGATGCCTCCTCTCCCTGTGCCAGACTCTGAAACTGGGGCTATGTGAGATCTAGGGCAGGGGTAGCCAACCAGGCAGCCTTATGGGGGTGCCATTGCAGTTCAAAATGTCTGGAGGGCACCAGCCTGGGCAAGGCTGCTTGGGGAACAGCTGCTGGAGACCCAAACTTGAGCCTTGTCCCTCCCTCCCAAAGGGCAAAGGAGAGCCTGAGAGCTCTGGCCTCCTCCTCCTCACCTTTCAAAGGCAATGTTCCTCGTGTCCAGGGAAGTGCTGATGATGGGAGAGGTGAGCCGCCTCTCCACCTCCTTGGTCTTCGGGGTCATGGAGTCCAAGGTCAGGCGCTTGATTTGCTGGGTGATCTCAAAGCGCTCTGTGGCAACCACCTTCTCATCGTGGTTCACCTCGATCAGCTCTGCCCAGTTCCCAGTATCTGGAGAGAGGAGGAAGATGCCTTTCTGGGCTCCTGGCCAGCACATGCACACAAAGGCCCTTACTTGGGAGTAAGAGAGTGATCTTTATTTGGGCAAGTAACATGACAGGCTCAGCAACAGACAGAGGGCTCAGGAGTCACAACTGAGGAGTTCAGGTGCAGAGCAAAAAGTTGAAAACTGGACGAAAGAGACAGAGAAGTTCCTGTGAGTTCCCTTGCCCACCTGACGAGCTTTTAGGGACAAGGCATGGCCTGCTCACTCACTCACCTTGTGGGGATATCAGGATTGATATCCATTGGGGGAAGAGCAGCTACTCCCAAGTGTGAAGGCAGCACCTGGTTTTTAAACTGATTGCTGGGTTTAAAATGGTATAAGGTTGATGTTTTCCTTTATACTTTTGGATTATTATTTTTTCAACAAAATAATATTACTGTGCATCACTTTGAGTGTGTCTTTTTTTTGGCAGAGAGCCAGTGTGGGATGGAGGTTAGAGTGTCTGACTAGGCCCTGGGACAAGCCAGGGTTCAAATTCCCACTCAGCCATGAAGCTCTCTACATGAACTTGGGCCATTCCTTGCCTCTCAGACTAATCTACCTTACAGGGTTGCTGTGGGGACTAAATGAGGAAGGGGAGAACCATGTACACCACCTTGAGCTCCTTGGAGGAAAAGGTGGTATATAAATGTAACAAATAAATGAATAAATAAAAAACATTATGAACTGTTTAACCCAACAGCTTGGGGAAGCTGAAGCATTGCAAGGCACATTCTGCTTACTCCTCTGTAGACCAATAACAATAACCAAGGACAGTGATAGCCAACAATGGGTGCCCAAAGGATAGTAAAGGCCTAATGTGGTCAGGTGACATTAATGGAGCCAACTCAGGTAGGTGAAGGGCTCTGCAAGTTTCTGAATTTTGCAGAGCCCTTCTTCAAGTGGAATGAAAACACCATTTCCTGGGCTTTGTAAACAAACAAAGGCAAAGGTTTTCAGTTAGGCCTTTTTGCTTTACTGAGCAAGAGGCATCACCTGGGTGTCAATCCAGAAATGCATGTTGCACTCTTAGCCTTTGGGGGGAAAACCCAAACATTATCAAGGAGGCCATGTACTCCACCTCTACCTGCCCCACTGCAGAGAGACTGTCTTCCTGCACAACTCACAGCACAATCCTAACTATGTTTACTCAGGAGTAAGCCCTATTGAACTCAGTGGGGTTATTAGGATTGCAGCCTTACTTTCTGCCTCCAACAGACTGCTGGGTTCACTGTTGGTCATGCCTCTGACTGATGGAAATGCCCCACCTCTTGCCCTCCAGGGCCCTGCAACCCCAGCCTGCAAGCCCTGTCGCCCTCTCTGCCTACCTTCTTCCCCCCTGAAGATCAGACTGCGCTTCCCTCGTTCCCAGCTCATGTTCTCAAATCCCAGCAGTGTGATGTCAACTCGCAGCTTTGCACCGCTCTTCCAGATGCGGCAAACATCGCTGGGGCAAACTCTGGAAACCAGCGGAACTGTTGGTTGTTGGAGAAAGGGAGAGAAAAGAAAGTACCTTTTGCAAAAGAAGACACCAATGCCCAAGGTCCCCTGTGAGGTCAAACCCGTGGCCCACAGAGTCTGGCCTTCTGCTTCCAGGACTGGCCTCCTGGAGAGTCCCAGGAATCCCACCTGCAGCACAGCACTGGGAGAGCAAGGCTTCAGGAACATCATGACGAGCTGCTGCATGTCAAAAATTTACCACTATACGCGTAACCCAGTAGCTAGCTGTCTTACAGCATCCAATTCCAAACAATAAATCTGCATTTTGCAGACTTTTCTCTCACCTGTCCAGAATCTCCTCCCTATCAGTTTCATTGGAGGACCCCACCCCAAGTTCTAATATTACAAGGGAGGAAAATCTCTCAGCACGGCCCATGAACTCACAAACATCTGGCAGGCCCCTTTCCAATCATGCTTTTTCCTAAACTGGGTGGCGGCAGGCGGGCAGGTGAGGACCCTGCAGTCCCTCCAGGTGCTGCTGGACTCCCAACTCCCAACACCAGCAGCCAGCCTTGGCAAGGGCCAGGAGAACAGGAGCTGTAGCCCAACAGGGTGTGCAGAGCAGCATGTTCCTCATCCCTGATATAGCCTTTCCTTGTAGGGAAGATGCTCTCACCTCTTGTGGTTCACTATCTAGCATGTGGTTTGTATATGTGCACTCAGGTTAAACACAGACCCTTTGGGGGCTCTTAGGGAGTTTTGGCAGGACAGACACATAGACATAGTGCAACATAACTGAAAACAAGCAAGTCCCAGTAAGAGTGAGCTGAACAGAAAAGGAAATACACAGCCTCAAAGAAAAGAGAAGGAAATTTAATTCGAACGTACCCCAACTGGTGAATTCCCATTTCATTTCCACATAAAAATCTGGTGTCTGTTGGAGGAGGGAAAAGAGCACAGTTGTGATGTGTGATTCAGACTGGGGTAGGGCCTATAAAATCCAATGTGTTACTTTAAAATGAAATGAATGCAATATTGCACAAATGGCATGGAACTTGAAGCCTGCAGGCCTCATGATGATGAAGTGGCCACATCATTAAGTGGTTTCATAAAGAGAACTTGGTCAACACACAGATGAACAGCAGGCGGCTGGCTGTTCTGGGTGCTCTTTAAGCTCTTACCACCCGCTGATCTTTGAGGCTTGCAAAAATCCCTGTGATTTGAAGCTTCAACAATCAGCCAATAGCTGAGGCGTCAAAGCGCTTTCACCAGCCATGACTTTAAAAGACCCACAACTGATCTCATATATGGCAGCAGGTGGGTATGGCTTGGCCAAGTGGAGAGGTCAGGAGGGCCCAGTAAGGCCAGTGACCGAAGGTTCCCCGCTGCTGTTGCATTATGACATTAGACTGTACTGGGATGCAATCCCACTATGACATTAGACTGTACTGGGATGCAAAGCTGTACTGGGATGCAATCTCAAAAATGACAGAATGATCTTGATACGAATCCAAGGCAGACCGTTTAACATCACAGTAATCCAAGTTTATGCACTAACTACTGCTGCTGAAGAAACTGAAATTGACCAATTCTATGAAGCCTTACAACACCTTCTAGAAGCCAAAATGACATGGACTAGAATTGACCAAATATGGGTAACTAGAGGAATGGCACCAAAGACAAGAAAAGTGGAAATCTGCCCAAAAACCTGCTCCGACCATAATGCTGTCAAGATTGAAATGAAACTAACACGAACTGGTTCCTTTAGATGGAGGATGAATGACACCTTATTTAGAGATGAAGAAGTGTTTAAAGGTAAAGGTACCCCTGCCCGTACGGGCCAGTCTTGACAGACTCTGGGGTTGTGCGCCCATCTCACTCAAGAGGCCGGGGGCCAGCGCTGTCCGGAGACACTTCCGGGTCACGTGGCCAGCGTGACAAAGCTGCATCTGGCGAGCCAGCGCAGCACACGGAAACGCCGTTTACCTTCCCGCTAGAAAGCGGTACCTATTTATCTACTTGCACTTAAGGGTGCTTTCGAACTGCTAGGTTGGCAGGCGCTGGGACCAAGCAACGGGAGCGCACCCCGCCGCGGGGATTCGAACCGCCGACCTTTCAATCGGCAAGCCCTAGGCGCTGAGGCTTTTACCCACAGCGCCACCCACGTCCCTGAAGAAGTGTTTAAGAAGGCCCAAAAAAACGTTGAGAGATTATTTTGAGATAAATATGAGCACCAATGTGGAAAAAAGAGTAATCTGGGACGCAAGTAAAGCTGTTATGAGAGGGTTCTTGATACAACAGAATGCATTAAAGAAGAGAATCCAGAATGAGAAGAAGGATAAAATTTTGGAGAAAATAAAGGAAAGTGAAAAAAAATTGAGAGCAAAACCCAAGTCGCAAGAGATTTTGAGAGAAATAAAGTTATATCAAGTGCAATTTATGAAAATGATGAATCAAGAGATTGAATGGAAAATTAAACAAATGAGACAAAAGACATTTGAGTCGGCTAATAAATGTGGGAAATTGTTGGCTTGGAGATGAAAAAAAGACAAAAATTAAATACAGTTACAAATTTAGAAGTGGAAGGACGGAATATACAGAACCCAGCTGAGATTAGAAACTGTTTCCAGAGGTCCTTTAAACAACAAGGGCCACAGAAAGAAACCGACGTAGACCGATTTTTGAAAACAAATGGACTACAAAAAATCTCTCAAGAAAATAAATTAATGTTGAACTATAAAATAACTGAACAGGAGATAGAAGGTGCCATTCAGAATATGCAATTGGGTAAATCCCCAGGACCGGATGGACTGACTTCTAGATACTACAGATCTTTAAAAGATTGGCTAGTACAACCTTTGAAAGAGGTCTGTAACGAAATAATGGAGGGGAAAAGGGCACCAGAGTCGTGGAAAGAAGCATATATCACACTTGTACCAAAAATAGAGACTGAAAAGACGCAGCTTAAGAACTACCGTCCCATATCACTGCTCAATGTGGATTACAAGAAATATGGTCAAATTTGAAGCTTTCACTGCTGGGCCGTATTGCTGCGATAAAAATGAATGTATTGCCTAGAATGTTGTTTTTGTTTCAAGCATTGCAAATTGTGGACAAAATGGACTGTTTCAAGAAGTGGCAGAGAGATATTTCTAGATTTGTCTGGCAGGGCAAGAAGCCTAGAATAAAATTTAAAATATTAACAGATGCAAAGGAAAGAGGTGGATTTGCCCTGCCAGACCTTAAACTTTACTATGAATCAGCAGCTTTTTGCTGGTTGAAAGAATGGCTACTTCTTGAAAACACAGACATTTTGGATCTGGAAGGTTTTAACAACGTATTTGGATGGCATGCATATCTGTGGTATGACAAGGTCAAAGCGCATAAAGCATTTAAAAACCATATTGTTAGGAAAGCATTGTTCAATGTTTGGATAAGATATAAGGACTTATTGGAAAATAAAACTCCAAGCTGGCTGTCACTGATGGAAGCGAAAGCTCAGAAAAAGCTCAATATGGAGGTCAAATGGCCGAAATATTGGTTAATTTTGGAACAAGATGGAGATAGACTGAAATTGCAGAGTTTTGAGAAACTAAAGAACAAAGTGCGAGACTGGCTTCATTATTATCAGATAATGGAGGCATATAATTTGGACAAGAAAATTGGCTTCCAGGTGGAAAAATCAAAATTAGAAACAGAACTGTTAGAACCCAAAACTAAAATTTTGTCAAAGATGTATAACTTGCTGTTGAAATGGAATACTCAGGATGAAACGGTGAAATCTGCTATGATTAAATGGGCACAAGATGTTGGACATAACATAATGATGGCTGACTGGGAACAGTTATGGACCACAGGTATGAAGTTTACGGCATGCAATGCCCTAAGAGAGAATATTATGAAAATGATATACAGGTGGTACATGACCCCAGTCAAGCTTGCAAAAATTTATCACTTGCCCGATAATAAATGTTGGAAATGTAAAGAAACTGAAGGTACATTCTTTCACCTTTGGTGGACGTGCCCAAGGATTAAGGCTTTCTGGGAGACGATTTATAATGAATTGAAAAAGGTATTTAAATATACCTTTTTGAAGAAACCAGAGGCCTTTCTCCTGGGCATAGTCGGCCAATCGGTGTTAAAGAAGGATAGAACTTTATGTACGCTACAACAGCAGCAAGAATACTTATTGCAAAGTATTGGAAGACACAAGATTTACCCACACTGGAAGAATGGCAGATGAAGGTGATGGACTATATGGAATTGGCGGAAATGACTGGCAGAATCCGAGACCAGGGAGAAGAGTCGGTGGAAGAAGATTGGAAGAAATTTAAAGACTACTTACAGAAATATTGCAAAATTAATGAATGTTAGAATGATGTTGGATTGAAATTAAGTGGTTCCTAGCTGTAATGGTATAAAAGAATATGAAAAAATGGTTTTTTAATAGGTAAAAATTTAATGCTATAATAATTTAAGATTAAAGATGAGGATAAAATAAAGAGGGAAAGGAATTGCTGAACTAATAAATTGAACTGGAATACAAAAAAGGGAGGTATGAGGAGGTCCGGGAAACAAGTAAATGAAAAATAAGCGATGAAAAGATTGAACTTGTTTTTAACTATTTTTATTTTGTATTTTTTCTTTTTTCTTTTTCATTTTGTAATATTGTAAAAACCTGAATAAAAATTTATATATATAAAAAATTAGAAATGACACCAAAGAAGGATGTTCTTCTCATTATAGGGGATTGTAGGGAGTCAAGAGATAAAAGGAACAACTGGCAAGTTTGGCCTTGGAGTTCAAAACGAAGCAGGGCAAAGGCTAATAGAGTTCTGCCAAGAGAACAAGCTGGTCATCACAAACACGCTTTTCCAACAACACAAGAGACGACTCTACACATGGACATCACCAGATGGGCAGCATCGAAATCAGATTGATTATATTCTCTGCAGCCAAAGATGGAGAAGCTCTATACAGTCAGCAAAAACAAGACCTGGAGCTGACTGTGGCTCAGAGCATCAGCTTCTTATAGCAAAATTCCAGCTTAAACTGAAGAAAGTAGGAAAAACCACTGGGCCGGTAAGATACAATATAAATCAAATCCCTTATGAATACACAGTGGAAGTGAGGAACAGGTTTAAGGATTTAGATTTGGTGGACAGAGTGCCTAAAGAACTATGGATGGAGGCCCGTAACATTATACAGGAGGCAGCAACGAAAACCATCCCAATGAAAAGGAAATGCAAGAAAGCAAAGTGGCTGTCCAACGGGGCCTTACAAATAGCAGGGGAGAGAAGGCAAGCAAAATGTGAGGGAGATAGTGAAAGATACAGGAAATTGAATGCAGATTTCCAAAAAATAGCAAGGAGAGACAAGAAGGCCTTCTTAAACGAGCAATGCAAACAAATAGAGGAAAACAACAGAATGGGAAGAACCAGAGATCTGTTCAAGAAAATTGGAGATATGAAAGGAACATTTCGTACAAAGATTACCATAATAAAGGACAAAAGTGGTAAGGACCTAACAGAAGCAGAAGACATCAAGAAGAGGTGGCAAGAATACACAGAAGAATTATACCAGAAAGATATGGATGTCTCGTACACCCCAGGTAGTGTGGTTGCTGACCTTGAGCCAGACATCCTGGAGAGTGAAGTCAAATGGGCCTTAGAAAGCACTGCAAATAACAAGGCCAGTGGAAGTGATGGTATTCCAGCTGAACTATTTAAAATTTTAAACGATGATGCTGTCAAGGTGCTACACTCAATATGCCAGCAAATTTGGAAAACTCAGCAGTGGCCAGAGGATTGGAGAAGATCAGTCTACATCCCAATCCCAATCCCAAAGAAGGGCAGTGCCAAAGAATGCTCCAACTACCGCACAATTGCACTCATTTCACACGCTAGCAAGGTTATGCTTAAAATTCTACAAGGCAGGCTCAAGCAGTATGTGGACCGAGAACTCCCAGAAGTGCAAGCTGGATTTCGAAGGGGCAGAGGAACCAGAGGCCAAATTGCAAACATGTGCTGGATTATGGAGAAAGCTAGAGAGTTCCAGAAAGACATCTACTTCTGCTTCATTGACTATGCAAAAGCCTTTGACTGTGTCAACCACAGCAAACTATGGCAAGTTCTTAATGAAATGGGAGTGCCTGATCACCTCATCTGTCTCCTGAGAAATCTCTATGTGGGACAAGAAGCTACAGTTAGAACTGGATATGGAACAACTGACTGGTTCAAAATTGGGAAAGAAGTACGACAAGGCTGTATATTGTCTCCCTGCTTATTTAACTTATATGCAGAATTCATCATGCGAAAGGCTGGGCTGGATGAATCCCAAACCGGAATTAAGATTGCCAGAAGAAATATCAACAACCTCAGATATGCAGATGACACAACCTTGATGGCAGAAAGTGAGGAGGAATTAAAGAACCTTTTAATGAGGGTGAAAGAGGAGAGCGCAAAATATGGTCTGAAGCTCAACATCAAAAAAACAAAGATCATGGCCACTGGTCCCATCACCTCCTGGCAAATAGAAGGGGAAGAAATGGAGGCAGTGAGAGATTTTACTTTCTTGGGGTCCATGATCACTGCAGATGGTGACAGCAGCCACGAAATTAAAAGATGCCTGTTTCTTGGGAGAAAAGCTATGATAAACCTAGACAGAATCTTAAAAAGCAGAGATATCACCTTGCCAACAAAGGCTCGTATAGTTAAAGCCATGGTTTTCCCAGTAGTGATGTATGGAAGGGAGAGCTGGACCATAAAGAAGGCTGATCGCCAAAGAATTGATGCTTTTGAATTCTGGTGCTGGAGGAGACCCTTGAGAGTCCCATGGACTGCAAGAAGATCAAACCTATCCATTCTTAAAGAAATCAGCTCTGAGTGCTCACTGGAAGGACAGATCGTGAAGCTGAGGCTCCAATACTTTGGCCACCTCACGAGAAGCGAAGACTCCCTGGAAAAGACCCTGATGTTGGGAAAGATGGAGGGCACATGGAGAAGCGGATGACAGAGGACGAGATGGTTGGACAGTGTTCTCGAAGCTACCAGCATGAGTCTGACCAAACTGCGGGAGGCAGTGGAAGACAGAAGTGCCTGGCGTAGTCTGGTCCATAGGGTCATGAAGAATCGGACACGACTAAATGACTAAACAACAACAACTCAGAAGTCAATCTCCCAGTCATCTGTATTAAGCAGCAATCTAAAACACTCATACCATTGAGGTTGCAACCCTGCATGTACTTATTGCGAGCATGCTCGACTAAAGAATGGGTAGCTTCCCCCCCCAGGGTTTTCTCAGAAATTTTAATTTCTCGTCTTTAACTGAGCTGAGGCCTATCTATGGCTTTTAAAATGAAGGTTATGGAATTAAAAAGAACTGGCAAGCTAAATAGGCATCATTCATGTCTCTCTATTTACCTCATTAATTTTTTGGAGCAATTCTGGGACCCCACCAAGAGTGGTGGACGTCTGGTGGTAATCCCTATGTTGCAGGATCATGTGGACCATCTCAGGATCCCCTGTGCTGACAGCTTCATGCAAGACTGGAAAAGAGACAAACAGAGGGAAGCTAAGAGAGAGGGAAAGGGATTCACATCGTGCTGGATACTTGGCAACTAGTGAGCCAGTTTAAACAAGAACATGAACTTTCACTTCTGCTTTTCTGGAACTTTCTTAGCTCCCTGGACAGCCATCCTCAGAAGCTCCAGGGCCTGCCTACACCTTCTGCTGAAAGCATAGAAACATCTAGGCCTAGAATAGACATGCTTTAGCCTGGTCAGATCTACTTTTCCTTTTGTTACTGGAGTCCCCAAATTTATCAAACAGAGTCACGTGCAAAAGACGTAACACTAGAATGAAAGAGCAGAGTGCCTTTGAGCTGTTTTCAGTACCAGAACTGAACTGGAGCTCATAAACCTGTCCTACAAAAGTTCATGCCTGCTTAACCCAAGCTTTCTTTGTTTCAAAAGTCTAATTTAAAGGGTGGTGGGAACTGTGTTGTTGGTGCCCTATTTAAACAAGTGGGAATTGGAATTCCTTGCCCAGGAATCCAAGTCGGTGGTTCCTTGAAGCACCAAATCAACGAGCGATTGACTAGTAGACCAACAGCTTTACCTTCTGCCCAACACTGGTCTAGGCCCTGCCTGAAGTTCTTCCTCTGTTCTCCTCCCTTTTGCTGCAAACATGCCTTGCTGCAACCCCTTACCTGTCCATCCCTGTGCATTTTCTTTGGTGACATCTGCTTTATGCCGCAGGAGGACTCTGACAGACTCGATGTATCCCAAAGAAACAGCAAGATGCAATGAGGTCCGGCCACGGGGATCCCGCTGGTCCACATCCTGCTAAAAAGCCAATAGGCAGACCTCTTCTAAGGCCTCTGCTATAGTCAACACAAGTCATCAAGGATGTACAGAGCTAAATATGAAAGCTGACAATGTTTCATGGAGTCTATGCTGACAGCTTCAATGCTGTTGGTGTTGCTTATAAGGACACATAGGCAGGCAAGCTTAAAATGAGACAGCAATCCCAAGAGAAATCAAACTGTTCATCCTTTATATAGAGATAAGTAAAACACCCTATGCAATGAAATTATGAAGAGACATGGAGGAAATTCTGGTCTCATACTGCAGCTCTTGTGGTGCACCCCACCAGCGGTCTGTGAAACAGACAGATTTTGCCTCCTTCAATGTTTTGCAACTAAGCATAAAACATTTTTCTCTTGGTAGGTTCCACCAGCATCCAACTCAAGCAGCAATCTTATACTGAGTCAGATCATTGGTCCCTTTAACACGATATTGTTTACTTTCCCCAAACTTGTGCTCTCCAGATATTCTGGATACAACTCCCCTCTGCCTTAGGGTCATTTTGGACTGCAATTCCTATCAGCCACAGCAAGAATGGCAGGAGGCATCTGGGTAGTGACAGGCTGGGGAAGGCTGGTCTACCCAAGAGTGGTGGCAGCTCTCCCAGATGGCAACCGGCCTTCCTATGCGAGATCATTTGGCTAGAGATGCTGAGCACTGAACCTGGGGCATTTGGTGGGCAGAGTTCAACCCCTGAGCTAGGATCCCCCCTGCAATAATCACGAAAGCACTTGTGGGAAGAGGTTCCTCCTTTCTTTTTCAAACTGGAGCTCCACAAGAACTGTGTCAGCAAGTTCCTCCAGGCTCTTACAATTTCCCAGCTCTTTGTGAGTGGGCTTTGGGAGCGAACGGGGAAGCCTAGTCTGCTGGGACTTTATCTCACCGTAGTGCCTCCCCTCTTCACCAGCCCAGATTTCTCCTACAGGAGGGGTGAGGAATCTGTTGCTGGGCTCCAACTCCTATCATCCCTGACCATGGATTGGCTATGCCAGCTGGGAGGTGGGAGTCCAACAACCCACAGGTAAGCAGCGTTCTTCAACCTTGGGTCCCCATATGCTGTTGAATGACAAAACCCACCATCCGCAGCCAGCTTAGCCTATGGTCAGGGGTGGTAGGAGTTGCGGTCCAACAACATCTGGGGACCCAAGCCTGAAGAACACTGCAGGATCCTCTCCCACTGAGTATCCTGCAGGATGAGGCCTTCCTGCACAAGTGTTGGCCCAATAGGGTGAAGCCATCTTCTCTCCAGCACTTGCAAATGGAAACACTCACATTCTTCTGTGAATATCCTAAGAGGCCTGGGACTGAGAGGGACTTCTGTGTACAAAGTCTATGTCCTCCCACTGTGTTATTCCCCCTCTTGTCCCCCCCGAAAGCTGAAAAGAAGCTTTTGCCCCCCCCCAAAAGAAGAATCTGGCCTCTGATTTTCTGTACCAGGAATTGCTGTCATCCTATTCAGCTATGAGAGGATGCTATGGCAAAATGCCTGCTGATGCATATACCAGGCAATAACCTTTACAAAGCAAACTTTGTAAAATGACTGGTGATATTATGGAAACAGATGGTCACTAGGATTGGACCCCCACTTGGGGGACGGACATGGTCACACACACACACACACACGCACACACACACACACACGACAATGAGCGCTCTTGACAGACCACTACAAAATGCAAGCCACACAAGGCAGAGAAAGAGCCACTAGCATGCAAACAGCAACACACACTTGCGCCTTACCTAGGTCTTTCACTACTAGCTTTAGAAATCTGAAACAGAAGAGCATCTATAACTAAGGGGGAAAAGTAAAAATCAACAGTGAGCCAAAGAGGAAAGGTCATGATCATTTTCAGTACTGCTGGTGGGAGTTCTATTGTGTAATCAGTGCTGTACACAGCACTGCTTAGGGCAGCTTTCCCCAACCTGATGCCCTCCAGAGCGATCCCAGCCAGCCATGTTCCCAACACACCACACATCAGTTTGTGCTGGTTGAGGCTGATGGGAGCCGTAGTCTGAATTTTCTGGAGACACTAGGTTGGCAATAGTGAGTTTAGGGCCACGTGGGCCAACACACACAAACACACAAGTTACACTGAAGTTGTAAAGTTAGGCCCAACAACAGATAACCAGGTTTTTCACTGGCCAATGATTTATTTCGGATGATTTAGCAATTAAGATTCAACCTATCTGCAGATTACCAAAACCTCACCAGCAATAAAATTGTATGTCTGCTGACTGCAGATGAGCTAACTTCTGTGTGAAGATGCATAAGGCTGCAGGGAAGATATCAAAGGATCCTGAGTTCGGTTCTGGCCATATGTAGATTATTTAAGCTTAACTGATAAACAAATCTTCTTTAAATCACAGGTTCAGGCACAATCCCTATGCACACTTTCGTGGGATTAATTTAGTGAAATTTAGTTCCACAGTAAAAGAACTGCTAGTCCTTGTAAGAAGGAAAGACCGTATGTGATATTTTCCTTACCATTCAGAATTTCAGCTACACACCAGGACCTCTAAGTGAGAATTGGCACCTGCTGCCAATTGCAAGTTGCAAGTTCCTTGGGGAAGGGGCCTGAGGTTTTGGGTGTATGTGTGTGTATGGAGACACACAATAACCACAACTGCGATAACAGATACATTTAAAACCAAGTTTAGCATTATGGGCCTAAGGGGTTATGGGGCAGGTTGGTCTATCTGAACACAGCAGTCCGCAAATTCCCAACTCAACTCTAAGCCTGCGGGAAGCTCCCCCTGCCTTCAGAACTTGTCTAACACTGCACACAAATCACTCCTTCTGACTGGGCAGAGAAGGAAGTGAACAAATTGACCAACTTCTCCAAAAAGAAATCAGATTTTTGGAGGGGTGGAGAAGAGCAATTCTCTGATTTACCAACAACAGTAAAGAGTGGTTCAGCTTAGCAAAGTCCCAGGTTTCCTTGTGGTCTCCTTCCATCTAGGCTAGCAAGCATGCTCATCCTCCTAGTGGCCTTGCTTCTTGGCCCCACTTGGACAGTTTCCAACATTTCCCAGACACCAACAACACTGTTTGTGGACCACCTGTAAGCTTCAGTTAGAAGCCAGCTGGTCTTAAGAAAACCAGGCTGTTGTACAGTTGCTTTGGAGAACAGCCAGCATAGCAAGAAAAGAACGGGTGGCAAAGATGGAGCAGGGGGAACATAACCAGAGAGCTCTGGGTTCAAATCCCCCCATCATGATGCTCACCAGGTGACCTTGGAACAGTCACTCAGCCCAGCCTCTCTCATAGGGGATGGATGCTCCTTAGAGGAAATGCAGAAAAACACACTTCCTGCTGTGATGCCCAAGTGAAAGAGAAAAACAAGGAAGATGCTCCCTTTAGAAAACCCCTTTTGCCTCAATGTACAGTGGTGCCTCACAAGACAAAATTAATCCGTTCCGCGAGTCTCTTCGTCTTGCGAAGCATGGCTATTAGCGGCTTAGCGGCTATTAACGGCTTAGCGGCTATTAACGGCTTAGCGACTATTAACGGCTTAGCGGCTTTAAGAAAAAGGAAACAAACTTGCAAGAACTCGCAAGACGTTTTGTCTTGCGAAGCAAGCCCATAGGGAAATTCGTCTTGCGGAACAACTCAAAAAAAACGGAAAACCCTTTCGTCTAGCGAGTTTTTCGTCTTGCGAGGCATTCGTCTTGCGGGGCACCACTGTATCAGCTACAGAGCCCTAGACATCAAACGCATCATTGCACTGCAGAAAAATTCATAACAGGTTCTGAAGCACAAGTTCAGTTGACCAGGACACTGACCTGGCGTGTAGATCACCTGGTGCCTTAGAGCTTCCTAGAAGGGTTGCAACTGCCATTTCCACTCTCTCAGTTTGAAACCATTTGCTAGAGTGGGCAGGATTCTACCAGTGGCATGGTGGGCTGCAAGCTCAAATATTGGCCATTTCTGTGTTCTTTTGTGTCTGCCAAATGAAGGGACCCCTACTACTTCCTTTGCCCCTTCTCATAACTCATTCTTTCCTATGAAGCTTTAGCTGCTGATGGCTTCTCTCATCCCTTTTCCTTTTATATATCTACCTATAGGCCTGAACAGAGGCAGAGATTCCATTTGGCCTCTCTGCTCTTATTTTGCATATCACAGGGATTAACTCTTCCAAATCAGATTCATTCCCCCTCCCACTCATTTAGGGAGCCCTCAGCAGCACAGCCTGAGAATAAAGCATACTTTGTGCAAGTTTTTAATTGTTCCTGCTTTTTCACAGATCTCAGGTTGGCCTGACAAATCTGGTTTCTCTTTCCTGTAACTCCACATTTTTTTTAAAAAAGGAAACAGCCAGCAGTACCTAAAAATAGTATGTAATTGCTATAAGGCTTTTAGAAAACCTGCAAGTCCAGAAATAACCAGGACAGCCTTCACCAACCTGGTGCCCACCAGATGTTTTGGGCAACTCCCATCATCCCCAACCGGCAAGTGGTAGTCCAAAAGGGATGGAGGGCACCAGGTTAGAGAAGAATGAATTAGGATATGGAGGAGTCCACTGTAGGACCCCCGTTCTCCACCACCCTAAAAGCTTTGCTCTACTGAAAACATGGGTACACCCCCTGCCATGATGAATGTGTCCATCAACCCCTCTTGAGCCCCTCCAGCCCTGAGCCAACAGACCGAGCCCTGGCTCCAGAGAAGACAGCGGCAGGAGCACTTGAGATTGGGGGCCACTGGCCCTCTCACTGGCCCTCTCTCAGCCTAGCCTCCCTCACAGGGTTGTCATGAGGATGTTCTCATGCACATCCTACTGAAGCTCTTGGGAAGAAAGGAGAGACACGAAGGTGATCCACAGGTGCAACTGCTCAGAATCCACACAAACACCTGTGGAAGTCTTAAGAGCCCAGGTGTCCCCTCCAACGCCACATGCCCGCCTTCCTCTTTTTTACCTTGTTCTTCAGCGCTTCTTCCAGCTTCTGGAAGTCATTATTCCAGACTAAGCCGTGCAAAGGGAACTTGCTGTCGGCGTCCCTCGAAGAGCTCATCCTGGGCCGATGGGCCCCTTCTCCCCCCACGTCAGGGCCCGGAGGGGGCACAACGCCTTGACACAGGCAGCCCACTCCTCTCAGGTCATGCCCTCCGCTGCCCCCAATGCAGGCTGGGGAGCACCTCTCCGCCCCCCACGGTCGGGGCTGCCTCCCCCACCCCTCCTTTGGGTGCCCAGCGAAGCCCCTCACCCCTCACGGAATCTGTGGGAGGTCCTCGTCAGCCCCCCGCTTATGGGCTCCCCCACCCCACCGCTCCTACGCTGCTCCTCCTTCCTCGCCCCCCGCCAGGCCGACCCGCCCGGCCCCGCGCCCGCTTGTGGGGACCAGGAAGGAGGCCCCGGGAGGAGGAGGAAGAACCGCGGCCCCCTCCCCTCGCGGGCGGTGCCGGGAGGGGGGATCGCTCAGGGCAACCACCCGCCTTCCCTCGTCCGCTCCCTTGAAGCCGCGGGCGCCATGCTGCGTGCGGGCAAAAGCGTCAGCCCCGCCCCCGACACACCCACGCTTCCTGCGCTGCCCGCCATGATGTCTGAGGGCGGCCAACAGTCTCCTGGTACTCCGGCGGCCATCTTGGAAGAAGGCAACTGGTATTGTCTCTCTCTGCTTCGCTCGCGCTTCCCTCCGACCACCATGGTGACTAAGGGCGCCGTTGCCGCCGACGTAGATCAGGCGGCCATGTTTGGAGAGGGCGACGTATTAGCTTATCATTGAACCATGGAACTGTGGAATTGGAAGGGACCCCTGAGGGCCATCTAGTCCAGCTACGGCATCCTTGACAGATGGGCACCTGACCTCTGTTTAAATACTTCCAGTGAAGGAGAGTCCACCACCTTCCCAGGGCGTCCATTCCACTGCCAAACGGCTCTTGCCGTCAGAAAGTTTTTTGTGAGGTTTAATCAGATTTTCCTTTCTTAGCATTTGAATCTACTGGTTTGGGTCCTATCCTCCGAAGCAGGAGAAACAAAAGCTCACTCCACCCTCTGGATGACAGCCCTCATATCCTGTATGTCTGGCCATCCTGTCCCCTCGCAGTCTCCTCTTTGCAGCCTCAACATCCCTGACTCCACCAACTAGACCTTGGATCATCTTGGCTGCCCTCCTCTGCACGCCTTCCAGCTTGTCAATATCCGGTCTTAAAGTGTGGCACCCAGAACTGGACATCCCAGGTGGGATCTGACCAAGTCAGAACAAGCAAAGCCCAACCCAGATGCCTGGCCAAAGGCTGATTGCTTTGGGTTCCCCGCTTCCCTCCGGGAAAGCCCAAGCCAGTGCCTCAGCCATGAGACCTGGAACAGACGCAGGACCCCAGAGCGAGCCTAGCTACGTTGAGGTGCCACTTCTGGTGGGCTCAGCCATGGCTTAATTTCTAGCCAAGAAAGGTGCCATAGCCTCCCATTCTTCCTGGAAGGCTCCAAATCCCACCTAAATGGGGGGGGGTACTTTTATTCAGGCAAATACTGGTCCAAGGCAGAACCATAGCAGTTTGCCACTTTGTTTTTCAAAATTAACCTCCAAGGGAGAAGCAGTTCATCTCTTCTATCCCAACAGTTCATTAGAAGAACTGTGACTTTAAGAACACCTGCCTGAGCTTGTTGTTTTCCTCCTCCCTCCCAATCTCTTTTTCCTTGTGGGTTGTGTATTTTAAATTGCAGAGCTAAGGGCAAAACCATCTACTAGTTTTTGTAAGCTGCTTCGCCACAGGGGTGTGTGTGGCTGAATAGAGAGACAGAAATGTTTTAGAATGATAGATGAAGGGGGAAGGCACGCCCGGGCACAGCAGGAGAAACTTGGAAAGGGGGGGCTTTTACATACAAATCTGAAAAGCAGCTGCCTGGTCTCCCCAGTTCCTCCTCAGACGGGGGACTCATTGGCATTCAAGATGCATCCGCTTGTCTGTCTGGGAGCAGAAAATAGCAAATTTTCTTGGAACATCATTCATCACAGCCAGTGACATGCCAGGGGGCTTCAGCTTAAATAGCCACCCAAGGTGCCTCTTGGACAGCCAGCAAAGAGGACAGAGGGGAACTTGGCCTCTCCTTCGCTGGTTTGGAGGCTGCAGGACTACAGAGCAGGGAGGGGCTCAAAAGAGGATCACCAGATTGAGGAAGTGCTCTCATTGGGCAAGTAATATTTGCATGGGGTGCAGATGGAACCCTGGTTAACGCTGCTATCAGCACATGACTGGGGTGGCATGGTGGCTTAGGCCTGCCTAGAGCTGTACAATCCCAAATAGATAGATATCTAGTTGGCCACTGAGAATAGAAGGATGGACAAGATGGGTCCCCTTTGGTCATCCATTAGGCTCCACTTACCGTATGGCCTATTCTGATTTCACTGATTTCACAATGGGGCAAGGTCAGTAATTGCAGCACTGTGGAGAGCTCCAGGTGAGCTTTTATGAGGGCTTTATAGATGATCACCTTCCAGGCTCTGCCCCTTCCTTGGATCAAAGGGTTTAAAGAGGCAGGTCTCTGGCTTGGGATTGAATCACAGAATCATAGAATTGGAAGGGAATCCAAGGCTCATCTACTCCAACGTCCTAAAATGCAGGAAACTCAACTAAAGCATCCATGACAGATGGACATCCAACCTCAGCTTAAAAACCTCCAAGGAAGGAGAGTCCACAACCTCTGGAGGGAGACCTTCCACTGTTGAATGGCTCTTACTGTCAGAAAGTTTTTTCTGATGTTTAGTCAGAATCTCCTTTCTTGTAACTTGAAGCCATGGGTTTGAGTCCTACTCTCCAGAGCAGGAGAAAACAAGCTTGCTTCATCTTCCATGGGGCACCCCTTCAGATTTTTTAAGAGGGCTATCATATTAATTTTCTTCCCTGATTTTTCCTGGAGTGTCAATTTTATAAAAACAGTAGCACTAATAATGGACCACCTTTACCCGCAACAAATATGGTCGCCGCATGCCTCGCCTTTCCCGGCGGCAAGATGGCCGCCCGAGGCCCCGCCCCAGCGTCCCTCGTCACGGACCCTCCGCGCGACGATGGTGAGGTGCGCACTTGGCGCAAGCGGCTTGGCGAATGCCTCGGCTCGCGCGAAGAGGTGCGCTGGTGGCGCGCGCACGCGCAGGACGCCTTCCCCGTGACTGGCGGGGCTGAGAGGGACCCGTTAGCGGGAGCGGCGGCCCCCCGAGCGGCTCCACCCGGCCCGGCTAGGCCATGTCCAAGCGGCTGCGGAGCAGCGACGTGTGCGCCGATTGCAGCGCTCCCGGTAAGCGCCGCGGGAGACCAGGGGCGGACGACGGGCGGGCGGGGGCCACCGCGGAGCTCGAAGGACCCAGGCGTCCGAGGGACCCAGGCACCCCAGGGCTGCCTCCCTCGTCACGGGGCTGCCGCGGGAGAGGCCGCCGGGGAAAGGGAGGGCTGCGATCCTGCTGAGGGGAGGCCTGCCTGGGGATGTGCAGGGAGCCTCTGGGCATGTGCAGAGGGCCTCCCCTCGCAAGCGGGTGGGGGAAGGAGCAGGTGCCGAGGGGCCCCGGCACCTCTTCGCTCTGGGCTTGGGGTGTCTGTGAAAGAGGGAGGGAGGGGTTTAAAGAGGGGGCCCCCATCTCCCCTTTGCACATGGGTTTCCCTTGCCCGCCCGGGAACAAGAGGCTTTGCTGGATGGGCCCCACTAGCCTCCTGCAGGCTCTGCTCGGGTCCTTGCAAGGCGGGCTTCCCAAAGGCTTCCCCCGGCCCCGTGGGATGCAGGATGCTAGGCTAGAAAGGCCTTGGGCCTGATCCATCCACAGGTGGTTATGTTTTCCAAAATCACCAGCACCCAGCTTGGGGGCAGTTTGCGGGACACACCCTCTTCCCCCAGGGCCTTTGATGGAGATGACATTCTGGGCCCAAACAGGAAACCAGCTGCGGAAATTGCGCGTCCTGCCTTGAGTTAATTGCAGGTGGCAAGAGAAAGCAGCAGCCAGTTCTCAGAAACCCAGCCGGCTCTGCTTGTGGTGGCACAAGGGGCCCGAGCCTTTCCCCTGTACCTTGGATGAACGAGCCAGAATTGCCCCTGACATCAGAGCCTCGTGTGGCTACCAATGGCTGCCCCGTGGGCTGTTGTTGTGGATCTTCCTGCCACAGCGAATCTCAGGTCTGCCTCGTGGTCTGGGCACAATTCAAGGTACCGGCTCTGGACGATTTCTTCCTCCCCATTGCACCATCACGAAAGCACTACTTCAGCTCTGCCATTTGTGGGCTGAGTTCACACAGCCGAGGGCACTTGGGCATACACCACAACTGTGGCAGTCACTTCCCCCAGATCAGACAGAGGCAACTTTGGTAATCTGTGCCCCCAACTCAAAAACCCATGAGTTGTCCTTCTGTAAGTAAGTTGCCAACTTGTACTAGTTGGGGAGCCTGCCTAGCATCAAGTACAAAATATGTATACTGGCATGTTGTTGTTGTTTAGTCGTTTAGTCGTGTCCGACTCTTTGTGACCCCATGGACCAGAGCACGCCAGGCACCTCTGTTCTCCACTACTTCCCGCAGTATACTGGCATACTGCACATAAATCCCAAATGAGAGCTCTGAGATTAAGAGTAGATGCTCTTCTTTCTTGCAGCTTGCAATTCCACTTTGCTGCATTGTAAGTACAGTGGTACCTCGCAAGACAAATGCCTCGCAAGACGAAAAACTCGCAAGACGAAAGGGTTTTTGGTTTTTTGAGTTGCTTCGCAAGACGAATTTCCCTATGGGCTTGCTTCGCAAGACGAAAACGTCTTGCAAGTTTGTTTCCTTTTTCTTAAAACCGTTAATACCCAGGGTGCATTAGAGGTGCAGTTGCGACTTGACTTCGAGTAGCAACTCATAGCACGCGGTGTGGTAGCCTGCTGGAGAATGTTGGGGCCACTTCTTAAAATTACTGCAGACTTAATACAGTGGTGCTTCGCAAGACAAAAAATTCGCAAGATGAAAAAACTCACAGAACGAATTAATTTCGTCTTGCGAGGCACCACTGTAAGTAGTTTTTAGGGTGGAGGCTGAGTTGCCGTGCTCTTGAAATGCACAGGGGACCCTAATAATTTATGTGGAAATGGGAATTGCTGGTTGTTTCAGCAGTCTTGCCCCATATCTTCCCCCACACTTAAACAAGTATGCAAGCATTTCTTCATTGTGTGCGTTCTTCAGCTCTTTCAGGGAGAACTGACAATTTCCCTTTGCTGTTCTTACAACTTCTCTAATAATGATGCACCTTTGCAGTAAAGACAGTAGTGCAACAGATGTTCTATTCAGCTTTAGTTCAAGAGATCTCATGCTTTGCCAGGCACCTTCCCGTTCTGCTCCGGTTCACCAGACAGCTTGGCTTGTGACTCAAGGCCAAATCTGGCTTGATGCTTGTCATGCTTCCTGTTTTGCATGACCCTGGCATGTTCTTTGCAGCTTGTTTTAGCTCATGCCCTGGGTGCCTTCTCTGAGCTCAGTACAAATCCAGATTTCCTTCCTTGTTTGGTGATGCACAAAGTAGAGTAGTTTTTAAAATATAAAAACTGGACCTGAGAAACCCAAGCACTTACCTGTGGCTGAAGTGGACGGTAGTGGAATTTCTTTGCAACCAAACTCCTGCCTCTCTTTCTTCCTATGCTAAATGTGCCACTGTTTTTCTTTCAGACCCATGTTGGGCATCAGTTAACAGAGGAGTTCTGATTTGTGATGAATGCTGCAGTGTTCATAGGAGCCTGGGCCGGCACATCTCCCAAGTCAGGCACCTGAAACACACACCGTGGCCCACAACGCTGCTTCAGGTAACACACACTGGGCTCATCATGCCATTGAGCCTCGCTGCTGCCCATGCAAATCACCACCCCTCCTGCCTAACAGCTTCCCATAGTAGTCGTGTGTGGCCCAAAGGTGGATGGGGCAGAGGAAGAGAAGAGCTCGCTTGTGTAAAGCTTCCTTGTCTTGTCCTGCGAGGCCAAGGCTTACAAGTGGCTGTGTAAGCACTTAAATTATAGTTTGGTGCTGTGTTTGGACCAATTTGTAAAGTGGATCTGAGTTGTGCTTTTCTCTTCTGTTTCTGATTCCACTTGCTTGCAAGTAAACCTGTTTGGTTCAAATGGAGCTTAAACATCCAATTGATATGTTGCAGGTCCGGAGGACTATCCATTCTTAGAGTCCTCTTTTTCTTTTTATGCACTTGTATGGGTGTGTTCCAGAGTTTTCTCTTCATGTGTCAAAACTGCTTTATTGCAGAGAGTGCCTTGTTCTTCATAAGCCTCCACCTTTCCTCCAGTAAACTTCCTTGCTGTTGAAGCAACTCTTTTATCTGTGGGCCTGTTCAGTGGCAACACCCTCCTGCATTCCTCCTGCTTCTGGGACTCCTATGGGGGGTAGTAAGTTGGCCACTGGGAGGACAGGATGCTGGGCTAGATGAGCTCTCTTTGATCTGGTCCAGTAGCCAGGCTCTTATAGGAAGAGCTGGAAAACACTGACCTATGGAATGCATATCACAACCAAATGCTTTCTCCCAATTTAATGATTCTGTTTGTCAACATTCCCTAACCTTTTGCTTTTGGTGCTTTTTAATGTTTTATAATGTAACTGCAGTTGTATGGGGGGGAGTGGGGGGGGTGCCTGCAAGAAAGGCTGTTTTCCCCCTTCCACAGCTGGCAATATAAAATCAGAAGGCTTGTGGTTGTTTCTTTAAAAAGCATCCTGCCAAGTGTTTTGGGGCCACATAAAACAGTAGCTAATTAGACATAGGTTCCTTTACTGAAAATAGTTTAGCAGGCAAAGAAGGAAAAAAACTCCAGGAAACGTCTTGAGCTTATCGGTTATTTCATTTATGGTTTGATTGATTCTGGTGTTGTGTGTTAAAACAGCTCTGGGTTTAGGTTTTTTTTAACAATCAAGCATTATGTAAATTTTAATAAATAAAATAAATTTTTGAAGAAGTAATGAAATGAGACACAAATGGCAAAAAGACAGAATATTGTGGATCAATGCACATTGCTGAATGTGTCCAGAGATTGACTATGCAGCAGACTTCAAAACTGGTCTGGGGCCTTTTGAAATGCTGAAGTGGATGTTTTTTGCGCATTAAACCCAATACTCTAATCCTTAACTTTATTTTAAAGGTCAATAAAACTTTGAGCAGAGCCTTGAGAAGGGCTGTTTCTGTAATAAATTCTGGTGCATTATAGAACATTTGGAGAGTACACCTGCAGAGCTCCATGCCAGCAACAGGACAACTGTCACCTAGCGTCTAAGTTGCTCTGGACAAGAGGAAGACACCAACTCCATGCTTTGTATTCTGCTTTGTTTTTTGCAGATGTTGGAAACCTTGTACAGTAATGGGGCTAACTCCATCTGGGAACATTCATTGCTGGATCCTGCATCTGTCATGAGCGGAAGGCGCAAAGCAAACCCCCAGGACAAAGTTCAGTAAGTTGGATCGGGGCAGGGGTGGGGAGCAATACCTCTATCTTCCCTAGAGGGCCAAAGGGGCAAACCTACGGCAACCTCCAGCAAACCATGGCCAGGGCTGGAGCCGATGTGAGCCAATCCTGATCCTGCCTCCCACATTGCCCAAGCAGAGGAAAACACTCTTGGTGGCAGATGTGACTAAAATGGAGAAAGCCTCTTTATTCAGAGAGCTATTTGGGGGTGGGCATTGGAGGAGCACACCGGATCAAAATGTCAGAAGTGTGGCTGAGTCCATGGCCTCCTGCTGCTGGAGGAGCACGATTGGGATGCTTGTTTCAAATCAGCATGTGAAATTCAGACCACCTCTGTGGTCTCCTGGGCCATGGCATCTCTTGCATGGCATGCTTCCTCTCCCCATCAAATGCAATTTTTTCTCGCCATCCTTCGCCAATGGGGACATTGAGTATTTTTATAGAAAGTGAATTATTATTTTTTAAATATTATTGCATTGTTGTTGTTGTTGTTGTTGTATCTCACCCATCTGACGGGTTTCCCCAGCCACTCTGGGCAGCTTCCAGCATATATAAAAACATAATAAAACATTACACATTAAAAGGCTTCCCTATTCAGGGCTGCCTTCAAATGTCTTCTAAAGATTATATAGTTACTCATCTTCTTGACATCTGATGGGAGGGCATTCCACAAGGTGGGTGCTACTACTGAGAAGGCCCTCTGCAAGTGTTCATCCTACCCACAGGATCACGGCCTTAGTTTCAAGCTAAAGGTGCTTAATTAGGGAACACAGGCGCAACTACTGAGTAAAAAGGCATTGGGAGCAAGACTTTGTCAAAAGCCCTACTGAAATCAAAATGCATTACATCCACAACATTCCCCTGTTCCACCAAGCTTGTAACTATCCAAAAGTAGATCTCACTCATGAGACGTTTTCATGCTCTTCTGTGGTGTAGTTCCTTTTCCTTTTGACTCACTTGTAGCCCCAATAAAGCGGAATTCATCAGAGCAAAGTATCAGATGCTGGCCTTTGTTCATCGCTTACCATGTCGGGATGATGACAGTGTGACTGCCAAAGACCTTAGTAAGGTAAGATTCCCTCTCATGAAGACCTCTGAGTTTGGATCAGGCTGAAGGCCCATCTAGTCCAACATTCTGTACTCACTAGATGCCCACTTTATGGGTAGGGAGCTCATCAGGATGTGTTCCACCCACAATATTTAGCTGCCACTTTGGGGGGAAAGGTATGATTGAGTCCTAAATGCTTCAGAGGCCACTCTGTGTCAAAATCCAAATTCTGATTCAGAAAAAAGAAACTTAATATTTCCTTTTTTTACTAATGAGGAATTGAAAAAATAACTTCATTTTTTACAGAATTGGATGAAATTTATAGGCACAGTAGCCCCTCCTGATTGGATAAAGGACTACCAAATTAGACACAAAAAGGTTTAGGATTCCTCCCTCCCCCACTGGGCTCATCTGTAAAATTCATCCCTTCTACCCCCAAAAAGGGAACCATCAATACTTAAAAAAAGAAAAAAGAAAATATTTCTGCAGAAATGGACTAACTTTTCAGGCAGGGTAGCCCCTTTTGTGTGTTTACAGTTTGGGGGTAGTTAAAAATGATTCATTTAATTGTTTTATAAACAACTTGTATGAAAAAAAGGGTACATCAAAGGTGAGAAATTTGCCAAATAACAGACAAATCAGCCCAGGGATTTTAGTGCTTGGTGTCTTTGAAGTTGATTTTGAGCAGGGGGAGAACTAGAAAGGATTTGCTTCCTTCCCTCTGATATATTGTGGGCAGCAGTTCCATTATGAAATCTTAGAGGTGTCCCTTGGAAAATAACCTGCAAAATTTTGGAAGGTAAGATGTAGGGGCCAGAGGGTTACAATGAATGAAAACTAAGAAACACAGCTTCAGGCTTGTATTCTGCTCAGTGACATCAGTTAAATCTTAAGTGTGAAGCTGATCTGAGTGGATGTTTTTATGAGAGACAGAGAAACATCTGTCACTCCCTCCACATCAGCCTTCCCCAGCAGAGAGCCCTCCAGGCGTTTTGGGCTGCAGCTGGGATGGACGAGTGTTGGGGGCCCCAGGTCACCTGGAGAGCTGCAGGTCAGGGGAGGTTGCTCCACTCCGTCTGCCATTTGATAAACCTTTTTCATGTCTCCACACCTTATTTGTCGGCTGTAGCTGGCAGGTGGCTAGAGGCCAGCCTCGGCGTCCCCCAAAGCAAGCCCCTCTGGGAATCCCTGGAAGGAGTTTTTGGGACTGTCAGCACAGGTTTCTCAGCCGCGGTGAGGCAAGAGAAAATTCTCTGCTGACCTCTCTCTCTCCCTTTCAGCAACTCCACTCGAGCGTCAGGACGGGGAACCTGGAGACCTGTTTGCGGCTTCTCTCTCTGGGCGCCCAGGCCAACTTCTTCCATCCAGTAAGAGAAGGCCTTTCCATGAGCTTGGCCATCATTGCTTTGGGCTGGTCTGCAGCAGCTTCTCAGCAAATGCCTGTTAACTCCCCTTTGCAGGAGAAAGGGAACACCCCGCTGCACGTAGCTGCCAAGACGGGTCAGATTTTACAAGCGGAGTTGTTGGCGGTGTATGGGGCTGATCCTGGCACACAGGACTCCAGTGGGAAGACGCCTATTGACTATGCAAAGTGAGCCATTTCAAGCTTGGGGTGGGGGTATTGTTGGCAGGAAAAAAACTAAGAGCGAGTTCCCAAATCCCTTTTGGAGTGGGTGGGAGATGAACCAAACCTCCTTACTATTGAATTTTGCTGTTTAGTGACATGAAAAACTTTCTCACCGAATCCCTTGCTCTGTTTCTGAGGCAACGGAGGATCTCTGCAGCTAGGTTAGAAGGAGGAGCTCTATGTGCTGTGGGATGCTTTCACCCAGTTAAAATAAGGCATGGTGGCTTTCAGTGCCTTATTTTAGATAGCAAACCTGTGCAGTACAGTGGTACCTTGGGTTAAGAACTTAATTCATTCCGGAGGTCCGTTCTTAACCTGAAACTGTTCTTAACCTGAAGCACCACTTTAGCTAATGGGCCTCCTGCTGCTGCTGCGCTGCCGTCATGCGATTTCTGTTCTCACCCTGAAGCAAAGTTCTTAACCTGAGGTACTATTTCTGGGTTAGCAGAGTCTGTAACCTGAAGCGTCTGTAACCCGAGGTACTACTGTAGTATATTTCACTCACTCTGTGAGTAGGATTGCAGCCTCAGAAGTCACCTGCAACAGATTTTTATTTTTGTTCTTACTGATGTTTTCAACTCAACAGTAGTGATTTCTGAATGAATCTCCCACCCACCTTTTGCCCAATAGGCAAGGAGGGCACCATGAGCTGGCAGAACGCCTTGCGGAAATCCAGTACGAGCTCACGGACAGGCTGGCATTCTATCTTTGTGGCAGAAAACCTGGTAAGGGTCTGACTAGGTTTATTTCATGTTATTGTGGTTATTTCATTTCCCCCCATAAAATTTGTATATCGGTTGATTGCTAAAAATAAACAAACTTCAGAGTAGTGTCTCATACCCTCCAACATTTCTCTGATGAAAATAGGGATGTCCCATTCCATAATGATAATTTTACTCTTTATATCCCAGCACATCTGACTGAGTTGCTGCAGCCACTCTGGGCAGCTTCCAACATCTATAAAAACATAATAAAATATTAAACATTATAAGAAAAAACCCTTCCCTATACAGGATTTTTTTAAAATGATATTTATTACTTTTCAAACAATTTCAACACAACATTACACAAAATGAAAGAAGAAAAAAGAGAAGAAAAAAAGAACAATACAAATACAACACAAACAAAGCAAAACAAAAACAAACAAAAACAATTTAAAATCACCTCAAACATTTTTAACATCCCATCTTTCATTTGCTTATTTCCATCGACCTCACACCTCCCTTTTTGTATCCCACTTCTATTTATTATTTCAGCAATTCCTTTCCATCTTCCTCTGTTTTCTATCCTATAATTATCTTAACACATTCTTATTTTTTCCTTCAATTTTCTATTAATCTACTTATACTTAATTCCTTATAACATTTCTACTAAAGCCATATAACTTCATTCCAACATTCTTCTAACATTCATTAATTTTACCATATTTCTGTAAATAGTCTTTAAACTTTTTCCTGTCTTCTTCCCCCGACTCTTCTCCCTGGTCTCGGATCTTGCCAGTCATTTCCGCCAATTCCATATAGTCCATCAACTTCATCTGCCATTTATCTGGCACTTCAGTGCTTTCAAGAGGCAACCATTCTCTCAGCCAGCAAAAGGCAGATGGTTCACAACAAAGTTTAGGGGTCTGGCAGGGCAAGTCCACCTCCTTCTTTAGCATCCGTCAATATCTTAAATTTTAGTCTTGGCTTCCTGCCCTGCCAGGCAAATCTAGAGACGTCCCTCTGCCACCTCCTGATACAATCCATCCCATCCAAAACTTGCAATGTTTGAAACAAAAGCAACATCCCCGACAACACAGCAACCCTCATTCTCCCCACAGCAACTCGGCCCAACAATAACAACTTCAGATTTAACCATATTTCCAAATCCTCCTTCCCTTCAATCCAACGTCCTTCACAATTGTCCTTGAATAAATTCACATTTCTGGCGGTCATACTAACCCCCAAAAACCTCTCTTTCTCAACCAATATTAGTCCTGTCTCCTCCTGAACCTCTGTCAAGCTTTCCTTTTCCTTAGGTAGGGCTCTGATCCTCAAATTCATCTGTTTCTCTTTAAGTTCAATAATAACAAATGTTAGCTTATGTTCCTCAAGTTGTCCTTGTATGGAAGGGACTCTCTCTCTCTCCAATTGAATTGCTTCAAATTCAGCAGCAAGGGTTTTCTCCTTGGCTTCATCCGCAGTTTGCCGTATCAAAGTAGATTCCTGTATCAATTTCTGGATGGTTTCTGTATTGGTATTCACCTTTTGTCCCAGATTATTTAAACTTTCTGCCATTAAGTCTATTTTAATATTTGCAGCATTTACTTTCACATTCATCACATCTGTTTTCTTGTGAAGCTGTTCCAGCGAATTGTTTATTTTCACCAATACAGCCACTAAGGCCTCTTCTGTCGACATTCCGTCCATTTTTTCCTTTCCATTTGCCATAACACTTAAGAGACTCAAGGTCAATCCCAGAGTCTCACACTTCTTTATCTGCAGCTGGAAATTCCCCTAGTCCTGCCCCTATGGAGCAACCAATTTCAAAAGCTTCCACTAGGGGAAACAGTTTCCATTTGTATTAGTCAGTACTGTCCTCTTTTAAACAATATTCCAATAATCCAAAGTTAGTTTGAGTTTTCAGTTACTTTAACTCCTCTTTAAAAGCAACCGGAGACAGTGGAAACAATGTGTTCTCTCATTTCGCTACCTGTCAATGAACGTTCTAAATGCTGTCAATGAACATTCCAAAACGTCAGTCCTACTAGCAGCCCGTTCCCAGGGTCAGAGCGGCGGTATTTTAACTTTTTTCACTCTCTCCTGCAGGCATACTCAGTCCACAACTTCTCCCCCTCTTCTCCTGCCTCCAGGGGGGATTTTATGCTCTTTACCAATGGAAGTTTAACCTTTTACGAAAGGCTTTCCAAGACTTTAGCTTGCAGCCTCCTTGCCTCAGTCTATTTACAAATAGGGAAGGCGGACTTCCTGTTTTTAACCTCCCCGTTTCGATGCCAAATTAAACATTTAAGGTCCGATTCTCCCGTTTCAGCTCTACTCACGGGTAATTACTTTGAAGTCAAATTGTCCACAGGAAAAAGTCAGCGCTCTCCGGCAACAGCTATGCGGCTTCGCTCCGTGGAAGAAGCAGACGATTTGAAGCACCGCGCCGCTCACCCCACATCGCTCTGGGTCCCCGAAACCGGGTTCCCCCGCGAGTAGGGGAGGCGCAAAAGGTGCCCGCCGAATCCCACGTTCACAGGCTTCTCCCGCCTGTGATTTTTACGGGTCTCCGCCTTGGCCGTGGCGGTACGGACCCAAATTCCCACGGGGCAAGTTCCTCCCGATCAGAGGAACTCCGCCATTGCCGGAGGCACCAACCCGGAAGTCCCCCCTATACAGGATTGCCTTCAGACGGCTCCGGGGTCGGATAACTTCATACTCACCACCATTTCGCCAATGAAAATAGGGACGTCCTTAGGAAATGTGGGCATTCTGGGATCAAATCAGAAACCAGAAGAACTTCTCTAAATCAGGGACACTCCTGGAAAATAGGGACACTTGGAGGGTCTGGTGTCTGTTTGTAGAATAAGAGTAAGAGTAAAAAAGAAAAAGACAATAAAATTATCAGTAAAAACAGTTCAAAAAAGCTGTTAAAACATCCAAAAACTTAAAAGTCAGTGATAAGCTAAAAATGGATTAAAACCCATGTCAACATTCTCCATATCTGAGAAGGCTTGTCAAAGTCAAAATGTTTTTAGAGTGGCAGACGCAATTGATGGACTATATGGAACTGGCTGAAATGACTGGCAGAATCCGAGATTTGGGAGAAGAAAGAATGGAAGAGGACTGGAAAAAAATTAAGGACTATTTGCAAAAACACTATAAACTGTATGAATGTTAAGAATGTGCACGATTTGGAAATTTTAGCTTCAGCAACTAGATTTGGTGAACTGGAAATTATGTTATAAATAAGACAAGGTGGAAATTTAAAATAACTTTATTATGCTTATCTTAAGGTACAAGTAACTGAGAAATAGTATCTTGAAGTTAGAAACATAATATTTGAAAGATACAGTAAGGTATGAAATAAGGTAACAATTTGCTGATATCTTTATTGTAAAGGACGCAGCGTTCGGGAGATGTGGGGAGGTCCAGCTGGATTTGTAAAAATGATATGGAAGGTTGATTTTTTTCATTTTTTCTTATATGTCTACATTTCTGGTTTTGTTTATGAAAATCCAATAAAAATTTATATATAAAAAACAAAAACAAAATGTTTTTAGCAGGTGCCAAAAAGAGTGCAGTGGAGGTGCCTGCCCAATGTCAACAGGCAGGGAGTTCCAAAGTGTAGGTGCTGCCACACTAAAATATTTCTTGCTAAGGCAAAACAATAATTAGGTGGCCCCTGTAACTGTGCTGGTTTTGTCGATGGAATCAGTTGAGGGGCAGATCTGGGGTCACTTTATGTACTGTTAGTAACACCTTGAAGATGGCTCACTAGCAAGTGGGCAGCTTCTGCAAGTCCCTGAGCAGAGGTAGTCTTATGTCTATCCTGCTTTGCTTCTAGAGAGCTCAGAGTGGAGTCCATGGCTCATGCATCCCCCTGCATCTACTTGCTTGAGAAGTGGTCCAGCAGGAATGGGGGGGGGCACATATGTTCATCCTGGGTCGCCATTATCTTTTAACCCCGCATGGACTGACATGACTGCTGTAGCTCAAGGGAGGAGAGACTTTAGACTTGCAGGAACTACTTGACTTTTTCCTAGAACTGCAGTCTGGTATAAAATATGTATTCTGATCCCAGGAATTTGTTTGGAGTACCAGAACTGAGGTGAGCTCACATTCCTTTCACACAGAAATCCACACCTGGTGACACCCAAGCTTCATTCACTTCTACAGTCTAGTTTGGGTGTGGGAGGGGTCATTCTGTTGCTGCTATAAACAGATGGGAGTCAGAAACCCTTACCAATCTACTGCAGGAGATCCAGATCTGCTTCTGCCTGTCCTAGCCCTGCCAGAATGCAGCCCTCAGACCTCTCCAGTTCATGCAGGCACTGAAAAGGCTGCTCAGCTGAATCAAGTTGTGGCTTGTGGAGAACTGTGGGTTGAGATAATGACATGATCCTTTCTCGCACCTAATGCTCTTTTGAAACTTCATTTTCAGATCACAAAAGTGGACAACATTTTATTATACCTCAAATGGCAGACAGGTAAGAATGCAGACTAAGCACTAATAATATGTAGTAATAGTATTGTTGGCCAAATCAAATGACAGTCGTAGATTCGTTTGATTGTCAAGAGTGATGTGCGCTCAAGCTTTGCTTTTTGTCTTCCTTCTCCTTGCAACCTCTCCTTGTCTTCTGTTAATTGATTGAGGCGCCTAAAGTCTTTTCTTATTGGTGGGGCAGATGTTGATAAATAAGGCAATAACATTAATAAATTTAATTGATATTTTTTCTCCTGCTGCGGTCCCTTGGGGATTAAGACGGCTGTAAGTAGTTCAGTAGTTTAATTTACCAATTAACTCTGCTATGTGAGGGTTGAAAATTAGGTACTTCTCACAAAACACACTGATAACTCAGCTGTGCACTAGAAAGTGTGGACAATAAGTGTGGGTTGGTTGTTTCATTTCTGCGTATTATGTGACCTATTTTTGCAGAAGTTGTTAAACTGAGGGTCTGTGTTCTGGCCAGCGCACCCTTTTGAGATAAGCCTTTCATCTCAGAAAGATTTATCTCAAAAGATTACTCAGGACAGGGCTTTGAGTGTGGCTGCCCCTGTTCTGTGGAATAACATCCTGCCCACTATCTGGACCCTCCAGAAAGAGTTGAAGACATTTTTGTTCCAACATACCTCCCTAGCTGGACAATTGGGTCTTTGCCATGAATGTCTAGTCTGTATGGTTTTAGGTTTGTTTTAAGTGTATCTGGGTGTTTTTGGGTTGGGGAGGTTGTGTGTGTGTGTGTGTGTGTGTGTGTGTGTGTTTAATTGTTTTTTCCTGCTCCCCTCCCTCTGTTTTTTTTATTGTACATCACCTTGAGATGATTCTGTTGAAGGCGATCAATACATTTAGATGGTGACTGATAATATATCCAGTGCTTTGGGGGGGCGCAGGGGTACACATACCCCTAAACCTTTTGTGAATTTTGTCCATTTACTGTATTTATTTTCCCCGATTTGAACTATAAAATGGTGATTTTCTTGAGTTAAAATGAGAGTACCCCTAAACATTTTTTTAGGGGGAAAAGCCCTGAATATATCTTTAGGTTATCTCTCAGGGCGTGTGTAATTAAATTTATATCAGTCTATAGGCTGACATTCTAGCAGAAACTGTCCACAAGCCTGCCTGCTATGAGAAGCAGATAGATAGATAGATGATCGATAGATGATATAAAAGCATCAAGCAGCACTTCACACAAGCTTTCTCTGGATCCCTTTTAGAATTCGGTTAATCACTTAAATAACATACGTGTTACTGTGATTAACAAAACAGGTGTTTATGTTTATGTGGCAAACCATTTCCCCTTCCTTCTTCATCAGCTGCTGTGATAAAAAATGAAATGATGCAGTAAAAAGCAAGAGGACTAAGCCACAACTGTGTCTGCATTCTTGGTCAAGGAATGACAGGCGCGTGACTTTAATTTTCACCCCTCTTTGTTTGTTCCTTGCCTAGTGGTGCTTCCAAGGTTCAGGTGTCAATAAATACAGTGATCACTTCTTTCTTTCATAGCAGTTTAGATTTGTCAGAACTGGCCAAAGCAGCCAAGAGGAAGCTTCAGTCGGTGAGTAACATTTTCTCTCTGCTTCCCCGCCCTCAGCTTTGGCTTTTCAGGGAGGAGGATTGGGCCCTGGGTGGGACTGGGGAGGGTGCAGAGGGTGGGTTGGATACAGAGGGAGTACAGCTTACCAGGAGTCTTGAGTGTGGAAAGCACCAGGGACAAAGGGACAAGCCTTAGGGGCTTTTTAAGATTTTTATATCCTTCACTTTAAAGAGTGTGTTGCTGGTGTTAAACTCCTGGGAGTAGCCAGCAGCAACTCGAGGAGCATTTGGCCCTTGCTGAGGTGCCAATGGATTGACTGCTGGAAGTCGGCAGCCCTTGCTGGCTGAGTGGAGATTGTGCCACACTGAGTTTGTACCACATTGTCCCTCATCTGCCCCACTGTCCGTTTGCATGCTCTAAAGAGCCACCATCCTGCCACGGACTTGATGTCAATAGAATTGCCCCAGACACCCATTGGCTTCCCCTTGTTTGTTTGTTTTTTAAATCATATTTATTCAAGTTTCCAAAAAATCCAAAATATAAAAAGAAAAAAGACATAAAAAAGAAAAAAAAAGAAAAGAAGAATATTTAAAACCTTATTTTCATTAACATCTTTCCAAGACTTCCCCACCCCTCCCCCTATTCTATTCCATTTCCATTAAATTAATTCCACAAGTTCCCCCCCCCCAAATTTAAAACTTATTATATTTAGCCCGATATTCAATTTAATTCATCTTATATAATCCCTTTCCCTTAAAAATACCTTCTTTCAACATTTAAATTTTTTTTCCTCCCTAAGGACGACCCCAATTCCCTTCCACGAATTCCCCTTTTTAATACACACAAAAGTTAAAAGAAATAGAAAAGAAAGTTCTTAATATAATTTTACACCCTTTGGATTCCAAATCTCCCTCCCCTCTTTCCCGGTGTCGATCCCCAATATCCATCAATCTAGCTGCTATCAGCCTGGAGGCCTCACGTCCATGTCCGAATCTCTCTCAGCTCCACTTTGCCGGTTTTCTTGGTAATCTTTAACTTCAAACACCCAATCTTAAAAAAGTTCTATCTCAAGAAAGTCCATTTTTCTTCCATCCAGACCTCTATATTTAAGAGTAAAACTCAAGTTCTGTTTCTTAATCCTTTTAAGTCTGAATGTCCCAAATGTTCTAACTTCCAGCTTAGTCCAATTCTTGTTTTCTTTTATGTCTCCCCTAGCAGGCTTTTGGCCTTCCTTGCTCTTTACAATAATATGGCTCCTCCTTCATTCTCTTCCAAATCGTCATGGATCCCTTGTTCTCTTTCCTCAAATTTCTTTTCCTGTTGCGCTGCAAAAACATACTAGTTCAAAAACTTCTGGTTCCTCTACAGAGGTGTTATTTGTTCAGGAACAAAAACTTACGTCAAGTCCCTTCCGTTCTTCAATAGATAAATCTATTGTCTCCTTTAGTGTAGAAACCTCTGTAGACAAAATAATGTTTCGATTTTGCAGCTTTCCCAGGAGATAAAATAGTCCAGTCCCATTCCATGAGTATTTTTCCACTTACAGTCATTCTTGTAATGTCCAAAAGCCCCTCTAGGGGGATTATGGTAACTTAGTTTCCTTCCAAATCAAACCCAAAAGTCCAGCTAACTTGTTTTCCTTATTTTCAGCAATTTATATCCAAATTGTAAGAAATCTAACCAGCAAAGTCCTCGTAACAAAGTTCTCTTTTTATTCTCCAACTTTGACAGCTACTTTGACAGCTGTCAAAATCTCTATATCTCTTCACCAGGCTCTCTCACGGATCTCTCACAGCTCCCGGGGGGGGGGGTTGCATTTTAACTCATCCACTCTTCTCCTCCAGCACAGTTACTTGTAGTTTCCCATCGTGAAATTAATAGCTTTTATCAATAAAAAAAGAGCGAGCTCTTCTCTCGACCTTAGTTGTCAGATCCTTGCTTTAAATTGTCTACAATGGGGGGGGGCGGACTTCCTTTTTGCGCTTCCCCCACTCGTACCGAATTCCAAAAAAAACATTTTCCCTTTTAGTTCCAATTTCCCGATTACTCACGGGTTGTTATTTTAAGTCCAGATTTTCAAAGAAGAAGTCAGCGCTCTCCGTCGAATGGCATGTGGCTTCGCTCGGCAGGGGAAGCGGAGGACTCATAGCACCACGCCACCCCCCATCCCCCGCTCCGGAGCCTTTAAAAAGGCTCCTTCGCGGGTCGGGGGCGCAAACGGTGCCCGCCGAGTCACCAAGTCCATGGGCATCCGCGCCCATGGTTTTTAAGGGTCCCCGCGTCGCCGGCGCGGCGGGATCCGACCCCTGCCGGGCAGGCTCCCTCCGGAGCTCGGAGGGAGTCCGCCATTTGGCGCTGGCGCCAACCCGGAAGTTCCGGCTTCCCCTTGTTTGAGTGGGGCAGGGCCTCCCCATTCCACCCCAGAGCCCACCAAGCCCAGCTTTGAAGGGGCTGGTGCCAGAAGAGCAGAATGTATGTTTCAGTGCTGGGGGCGGTGGCAATGGTGGGGAAATACTGTGGGCTTCATGAGGAGGGTTTCCTGGTGGGGCATCTGGTGGCTGCTGTGAGAAGCCTGGCTAGATAGATGGAATTTAAGCTGATCCACCGGCCGGCAGGCAAGCAAGCAGGGGCCCTTTAGGTTCTGAAGTCGGGAAAATAAAAAGCACACCTTTGCCACTCACTCCCAGGAGGGGGCTTTGCCATGGAGAGTCGTGCTTAACTTTCCCTCCCCTCCTCTCCAGCTGAGCAATCACTTGTTTGAAGAGCTCGCCATGGATGTCTATGACGAGGTGGACAGGCGGGAGACGGACGCAGGTGACCTTCTGTTGCGGGACTTTTGGGTGCTGGAGGGCGGCTGGGTGGGTGGGTGCCATGCTGCAGCACAGGGGCCCTGCGTGAGGCCAGAATGAGCCTCCTCAGCAAAACGCTGCATTGCAGCAAAGGGCTCCTGCCCCTGGAAGGTGCCAAGTCCTCTCTACTCTTCTTGCCCCGTACTGCAATTTCCCCTCCTGAGTAGCTCTACGTCACAGGGATGTGATGGCCTGGGGTGTCAGCCTTGGCAGCTGCTGTGGGCCTTCCCTAGTCTGGGGCCCTGCAGGTGTTTGGGGAGTTGTAGTCTAAGGGCTGGGCAAGGCTGATTATAGCCCACAACCCAAGCCTTGGTTTTTGCTTTAGAGTGAAATTGTGTTTGACCCGGAAACTACAACTAATCCAGAATGCGGCAGCTAGACTAGTGACTGGGAGCGGCCGCCGAGACCATATAACACCAGTCTTGAAAGACCTACACTGGCTCTCAGTACGTTTCCGAGCACAATTCAATGTGTTGGTGCTGACCTTTAAAGCCAGTATACCTGAAGGAGCGTCTCCACCTCCATCATTCTGCCCGGACACTGAGGTCCAGCGCCAAGGGCCTTCTGGTGGTTCCCTCGCTACAAGAAGCCAAGTTACAGGGAACCAGGCAGAGGGCATTCTTGGTAGTGGCGCCCGCCCTGTGGAATTCCCTCCCACCAGATGTCAAAGAGAAAAATAACTACCAAACTTCTAAATGACATCTGAAGGCAGCCCTGTTTAGGGAAGCTTTTAATGTTTAATAGGTTATTGTATTTTAGTGTTTTGTTGGAAGCCACCCAGAGTGGCTGGGGAATTATTATTATTATTATTATTGAAATTTGTGTCTCTTAGTATGGGGGGAAAGCTCATTTGCCCAGAGGGCTTCATTTGGGATAAGGACTGGGCTCTAGGACATGTGTCCAGCGCTTTGACTTCAGGTGTGGGAGGTTTATGAGGGAGGGAGCCCCCATTGTCTGCCACTGATTCCCAGCCAATGCCCAAGCATGGAGAGACTGTGGGCCTCCAGATGTTGTTGGGCTTCAACTCTCAGCAATCTGCATGGCTGACGGTCCGGGATTATGGGGCTGGAGGCCAGCAATATCTGGAGAGCCACAACAAGTCACTCATCTTTTATGTAGAAACCTAAGCAAAGCTAACCCTGGCTTTCCTCTCTCTGTCCCTTGAAATAGTGTGGCTTGCCACTCAGAACCACAGCACACTGGTCACCGAGACAACGGTGGTCCCTTTTCTCCCCGTCAATCCCGAGTACTCCTCAACAAGGAACCAGGTACGTTACTCATGCCATTTCTCTGTCATCTGAGGAGGAAACTTATTCCCAAGCCCTAAACACAGGCAGAGGATTTTCCATCTATCATATTTCTACCTTTGTGGACAAATTCAGAAATGGATTGCTGGAATTCACCGTATGTGGAGGCTTTCTGGGATCTGGTTTGGAATCTCCTGCTGGTGCAGAATGCGATTGGCAAACTGCTGAGCAGGGAGCTTCCGGTCAAGAACATGGAGCACCAGGGTTAAAGCAGCTTCACTGGCAGCCCATCTGCTTCCGAGCCAAGTTCAAGGTTCTGGCACTGATTTGCAAAGCCCCATATAACTTTGGCCCAGGAAACCTCAGGGATGGCCTGAACCCTTGTATCCCAGCTTAGTCACTGAAATCCTCTGCAGCAGCAGATGTTGATTGTTCCCTGAGTTGGTGAGGCTCATTTGACAACAGTGAGAAAATGAGCCTGAGGAACCCTCTGCCACTAGAGATTCACCAGGTGCCTTCTGTGCCAACTTTTAAATGCCTGCTGAAAATTGTTCTGTTCTGCCAGGACTATGCAGGCAGTTAACTATACATCCTTCCACAATGGTTAACTGTTGTCTTGTTTGGGATTTTTTGTAAATAATTTTTATTCATTTTCCAATTAAAAACATTCATATTAGTAACAAATCAAACCAAATCTTTTCACATTCAAAAACAATATAGCCAATTATATAATCTAAATTAATTAATTTCAATGGGACTTCCTGTATTCTGGATTTCAAAAGTCAAATATCCATCCTTTATCTTTCAGCTATCTTCTCTATTACTTCACAGTTTTCCAATCCTGATATTAACAATCTCCTCTCTCTCTCAATCAGTTGCTGGTATAACTCACTGTCTTGTTTTATTTGACCATTCATTATTTCTGTAATCACGCAGGGGGCTTTTTCCACATTGTTCTTAGTTTTAATATTTTGAAGCACAGTCCACTTTGATGGGCCCTTCTTTTTCTGCTGATTGTTGTTCTAATAGGCTCTGGGCTTCCATCCAAGGTTGAAATTAATTAGCGACTTCTCACTGTCTTTGATCTTTGATGTTTCAAATGTACTGTAGAGGTGTACTTGGCAATCAGTAAGTCACACAAATATTGTTTCGGTTTCCTCATAAAAACACACGCCAGCTCTCTGGGGCCCTTGGACAGCTGGCAGGCATCCAGAGTTCACCGCCACTCTTTTCTCAAACTGTAATGTTCCATGCAAGCAAATGTGTCCTCTGTAAAGTACACCCCTTTTGCAATTCCAATAAAAAAAAATCTCCAATCTCCCACCATTGAAGGAGGTTTTTCCTGATCATATCCTTTTTCTTACTGCATCAGAGCTTTTACCATTGCCATCTTCCTCCTTAGCCCAAGCTGTTCTGATCATATCTGATCTTGCTCTGCCAATTTCGATCAGGGCTCTCTGCCAAGACTGCGATGAGTCAATAAGTCCAATTATTTTACTACTCCTGTGTTTCCTTTGGGTAATTAATTATTTCTTGGTGGGGTTCGCCAAATCATGAAATAGTAAATATAACAAATACAAAAGTACGGCAGCCGCTCACCTCATTCAACAAAATGACAAGAAAGGAGTCTTTTTGAAGTCCGAAACTTGACCTCCAACGACTGTGTAGTTTAGCAGATTTTTCTTTTAACTCTTTCCATCTAGAACATGCCTGTTTTTTTGCCAAATCTTTTAATTGTTAGGAAACAGGGACTCCCAGCTGACGAGACTGGCTTTGGAGAGTTGCCAAATTCATGCCTCGGACATCACCCGGGGTCCCTGCCTCCGCATCTTGTTGCGGAGCGCAGATAACGGACTGCAGGTGGCACAGCTCCCCCCTTACCTGGGGGGGGTGGCCAGGGTTAATTACCCTCATTTAACCCCTAATTACTGACACGACTGGCTGTCCGATCTCTTGGGAGGCCACCATATCTGTTTTTAACCTTTTAAAGGTTTTTCTTACATGATTTTATTGCTGTAAGCCATGTATGTGTGTTGTGTGTGTGTGTGTGTGTGTGTGTGTGTGTGTGTGTGCGCCCATGCCCACACATATCTGTGATACAGCTGTATACAAATATCTGTATGAATAAATAAACAAACTGTGCATCTTGGTTCTGAATACTGAACCTGTTGCTGATATCATCTTGGGAACAAGGAGATGCCAAGAGCTCTGAGCTTTCCTTCTGCTGGAAATGGATTTTTCCAGAAAGCCTGGGAAGTCATGCATCTGTATAGGAGGCGAAGGATCTGCTTTCAGTTCCTGCTTCTCTGGCTGCTTTCTTCTATTGCCTTGCAAGCTCCTCCAGCTCCTCTGAGGCCTTGTCTTGCCTCTTGTCTTTCAGGGAAGGCAAAAGCTGGCTCGCTTTAACGCCCATGAATTTGCAACACTTGTCATAGACATTCTTGGGGATGCCAAGCGAAGGCAGCAAGGGAACCCTGTCCCAAGTTCCAGAGGTGAGTCCCTGTTTGGACGACTGGCTGACTTGAGTTTTCAGGACAGATAAAGGGACGTCCTTCTTCATGCAGCACATAGTTAAACTATGGGACTCACTTCCACAGGAGGCAGTGATGGCCTCCAGCTTGGGTGGCTTTTAGAAAGGGTTGGACAAACTCCTGGAGGAGATGAGGGCTATTGATGGCTACTAACCCTAATGCCTCTGCTCTGCCGCCACAGTCAGAGGCAGCAGTGCTTCTGAATACCAGTTGATGAAGCCACAGGAGGGAGGAGGGCTCTTGTGCTCAGATACCACTTGTGGGTTTTCCGTAGGCATCTGTTTGACCAAGCAGGATGCTGGACTAGATGGGCCATTGGCCTGATTCAGCAGGTTCTGCTTGTGTGCTTAGGACCGTAGTGCAGGCAAAAGTACAAAGGGATCCTGGTGAAGGCTTCAGCTGACTCCTTCCTGCTGCCTGTTTCCCTTTTGTTCTGGTTCATGGAGCTGCATTCTCTAGGCTGGTCATTTTGAGGAATGCCACATTCTGCACACATTCCCTAAACATCAGGCATTTGGTTGCTGCTTTTGCAGAAAATGTAGAGCTGATCCTGAAGTCTGTCAACAGCCAGCACAGTACAGAGTGTCAGGATAATGACCAGCCTGACTACGACAGCGTTGCCTCTGACGAAGAAGTGGATCTGGAAACAAGCTCAGTCAAGGCACCCCGGCAGAAGGTGAGCCTGTGCAGAGATATCCAGAGGGCGGCAGCATGTTGGAAGGGGCTGTGCAAAAAGGCTGCTCCTCACGAAGCGCTCGCCTCAGGCCCATCACTGCTGCTAAAAGGTGAACAGTCCTTTGCAGAGTGAGCCTTGTCCCTGCTTATTTGAGCAGCTGGGCCTCCATCCCCAGCACTCTTGGTTCATTTGAAAAGAGATTTGTAAGGCTGCTTGGTTCCCCTTCCAGGTCTGGAAGGAGACTTACGGCCTCTCCTGACTTTAAAGGAGAGAGAGAGAGATGGTACTTCAAAATCCTTGAGGTGTTTGGGGACACCTGCCTTTGGACCAGCATAAACCCTTTGATGCTAATTTTGAGAGCCTATCTTACTTTTGACTTCTGAGTTGAAAACTTCTAGTTATATTGATTCATTTGTGAATTGCCTTTGGAGTTGTTTGTTTTATGTTTGTTTCTGATGTGCAGTATATAAGTGGCACTGAATTCTGCATCATGCCATAGTATTCTCAGAGGCTTCATTGTTTATTATTTAACATGTCTCTTTTGACTTTGGTCCTCAAACTGAGAGGAAACAGCTGTGTCTAAATGAGCAACACATCATTGTGTGTTGCGTTTTGCAGAGCCTAGATTCAGACTTGTCGGATGGACCCATCACAACCCAGGAATATCTGCAGGTTAAAAATGCCCTGGTGGCTTCGGAGATGAAAATCCAGCAGTTAATGAAGGTGAACGTCAACTTGAGCGATGAGCTGAGGATCATGCAGAAGAAGGTAGCATGAGAGTGAACGAGAGAGGGTTTAGTTTAGTGCGCCTTGAGTAAAAACCCCACATGCATGAAAAGGGCAGAATGTTGAAAGCTCAAAAAAAAAAAAGAAAAAAGGACTGCAGAGCCTTCTGCAACCTGAGACCCTCCCACTGGCTGTTGGGTTCCAACTCCCATCATCCCTTACCACTCTGGTCAGTGGCCAGGGATCATGGGAGCTGGAGTCCTGCAGGGTAGCAGATTGGTGAAGCATGGTCTAGCATCAACTTCCTGATTGATGGTGCTCAACCGTACTCAGCCGGGGCTCAAAGGGAGGGGAGCCACTTGGCTCCCCACCCCCATGAGCCGCAGGGTGTCCAATCCTGCACGAAGTTGTCCCTCACTCTTCACTGTGAAAGAAAAGGAAATGGAAGCCTTCTGATCCTGTTAATTCCTCTTGGGATTGCTCAGGCTTGGACCCCCATAGATCAAATATTCATCACTTGCATCCCTAGACCACAGCCCTGGTCACCTTAATTCATAGTTTTCCCCTCCCCCCACCCGCTGATCTCAGTCACCCCATTAAGGAATGGCATGACTGCAAATGGTTTACGGTGGGTCTGTACAGCCATTTATGGATTCTCCCGTGTGGTGAGATTTTAAATCCATGAATTTCTTGAGTGGTCAAGGGCAATGCTTTGTCTACGCTGTGTCAATAAAGTGAAAGAGTTTGCCTTTATTTTATATTTTTCTGTGCTGTCTTCTCCATAGCATGAAAAAGGAGAATGATAAACAAAATTATCCTGTTCTTTCTTTGAGAAGCTCAGGATGGGATACACTGTGTGGGCCTCTTGTCTTCACTGCAGCCCTGTGGGGTAGGCTAAGCCGAGGGAGACCGAGGAGTCCAAAGCCCTCCCAGTGAGCTTCATGGCAAATCAGGGATGTAAGCCCCGGTCTCCCGCATCATAGTCCAGTGCTCAAACCACAGCACGACCTGTTCTCAGCTCACAGTTTCCACCATGGCCGTGATCTACTGTGTGAGAGCAAACCCAGTGATCATAGCAAAATGTTTTGCAAAATATGAGCAATGGGGATCATAGAATCCTAGAATTGTAGAGTTGGAAGGGGCCGCAGGAGTCATCTGGTCCAACCTCTGACAATGCAGGAATCTTTTGCTCAACTTGGGGCTTGAACCCACGAACCTGAGATGAAGAGTCTCGTGCTCCACCAACTGAGCCCTTTCAGTTCTCAGTTCAATGTCACTAGACTTGTGAGCCTTGCTAAAATTATAATGAGCTTCTGGGAATGTGTGTAGGACTTTGAGTGCAAACTGTAGCTCCCCCCACCTACTTCTTCATCTCCCCCAAAGATTTTCAGCAAGGAGCAGCAGCTGACCACAAAGCCCCTCTGCTTTAGATGGGTGGCCAGGGCTACTGCAGGCAGTGGGGAGGTAGTTTGAGAAATATGTTGCAGCTTAGAGTAAGAAGGAAGAGGAGGGGCTGAGGAAGGGTATCCACAGGCCTTCAGGGGTGGGAGAGAGAACTAACTTCCAAAGGCAGCGAAAGGGTTTTTTCTTTCTCTTTTCAAGATCTCTCTGACCCAATACTGCAATTGCATGGCTTAGCGTCTCAGTGCTATGTAAAGTTCCTCCCCCTCCCCTTTATGATGGATGTAGCAATTCATGAGCCGCCAGGGGGTGTGGGCAACTTCCTCCTTTTATATCTATTTGCGGGGGGGGGGGGAGCAGGAGCGCCAGCTGCTCTAAACTGTGCAGAAAACTGCAGAAGGCCCACCAGATGTTTTATGGCTCTTCCTCCTGATTAATTGTGCCCTTAGCTAACTTGAGGACATTGTTGGGAATCTCTTGTCATGGGGCTCCTGTTCTGATCCCCCTTGTTGTGTTTCCATTCCAGTGGCCTTGCCCCTCTCTCTTGTGCAAATAGGTTTGAGTCTCGTTTCGTCTTCCACTTCCTGCGGTGACAGTGCCATTTCCCCAGTTCCCTCTTTTCTCTGATTTGACTGTTGGGCGCTTGGCCTGAGTCAGCCACTTTTAAAGAATGTTGCTAAAGCCGCTGTCTGCGTTGCTCAGAAACTTGGCCTAGCTTGGGTTCACATTGCTAGATGTTGGAGCTCCTCTTGACACACACACAACCCCACCTGAAATTTTGGGGCTCCCAAAGCTTTGAGAATGTAACTGATTTGGCAGACGTTTCCTATAAAAGGAAAAGACTGCCTTTAAAAACAGAAAGACAAGCAAAACCTGGCTAGCTGGTGACAGTTTTCAAGCATGAGGATGCACCGACTGTGCTGCCCCCCTCCCCCAATTCTTGCTTTGCTGTGCTGTGGGGACATCCAAGCCCCCACTCTGAAATGTTTTATTCCAGCTTCAGACGCTACAGAGTGAGAACACGAGTCTCCGGCGGCAGGCCACAACAAACGCCTCCCTGACTCCCGCTGGCTCTGAGTATCCAGACGCCAGCAGCCACTCTTCCTTGATCTGGCGGCCCTCTGTGCGCAGCAGCCGGCCTATGTCCATGTACGAGACAGGATCAGCCCAGAAGCCCTACTTGCCATTGGCCGAGGTCTCCTACCCAGAGGAGCACATCACGTCGCGGCTGCAGCCGTTCCCTCCCCACGTAAGTAAGACCACCAACCTGCTGCCTCTTTGGGGGGGGCTGCTTGGGCTTTCCTCACTCAGCCTGCTCCCAATCCGGGGCTCCCCAGATGTTGGGCAAGGCTGGCCATGTCCCTGGGAGAAGTGCCCCTTTCTGCGGACAGAGCATCTCTGCCTAGCTGTCTGGGGCTGTAGAATTTCTGCTGTGCGGACGGGAGCTTTGGCCTTCCGCTTGCCCTCTTCATTTCACCTTTCGCCAACCTGGTGCCCGTCATATGAGGACGGACTGCTGTTGCTCAGTGGGGAGAGAAAGCTGCTCTGCGCATGCTCAAGGAACCTTAAGCATACACTACGACTGCTTGTCAGTTTCTCTGATGAAGAGGGGCGATCAAATATGAAAGAGGGGTGGTGGTCAGTTAGCACCTTGAAAGATGTGGGACCCCAGGAGGGGGGCAGGGGGATCCGCAGGGGGCTTCTTCCCATGGGCTCCTCCATTACTTCAAAGCCAGAGTTTGCTCACGCCAACGTCCAAGCACCCTGAGCTCCTTGCAGTGGTGTGTCTTTGTCTTTCCTCGCTCAGTTCTTTTGCATCTTTGACTTGCTGATGCTGATGCTTGCCTCTTTGTGTCTTGCTGGATTTCAGAGATGTTGCTCTTGCACCCATTACCCACTCTTGGGACGTTCTATTGTGGGTTTATTGATCTAAATCAAATCCCTTATGAATACACAGTGGAAGTGAGGAACAGGTTTAAGGATTTAGATTGGCTGGACAGAGTGCCTGAAGAACTATGGATGGAGGTTCGCAACATTATACAGGAGGCAGCTGGATGATATTCCAGCTGAACTATTTAAAATTTTAAAAGATGGTGCTGTTAAGGTGCTACACTCAATATGCCAGCAAATTTGGAAAACTCAGCAGTGGCCAGAGGATTGGAGAAGATCAGTCTACATCCCAATCCCAAAGAAGGGCAGTGTCAAAGAATGCTCCAACTACCGCACAATTGCACTCATTTCACACGCTAGCAAGGTTATCCTTAAAATTCTACAAGGCTCAAGCAGTATGTGGACCGAGAACTCCGAGAAGTACAAGCTGGATTTCGAAGGGGCAGAGGAACCAGAGGCCAAATTGCAAACATGCGCTGGATTATGGAGAAAGCTAGAGAGTTCCAGAAAGACATCTACTTCTGCTTCATTGACTATGCAAAAGCCTTTGACTGTGTTGACCACAGCAAACTATGGCAAGTTCTTAAAGAAATGGGAGTGCCTGATCACCTCATCGGTCTCCTGAGAAATCTCTATGTGGGACAAGAAGCTACAGTTAGAACTGGATATGGAAGAACTGATTGGTTCAGAATTGGGAAAGGAGTACGACAAGGCTGTATATTGTCTTCCTGCTTATTTAACTTATATGCAGAATTCATCATGCGAAAGGCTGGGCTAGATGAATCCCTCGCCGGAATTAAGATTGCCAGAAGAAATATCAACAACCTCAGATATGCAGATGACACAACCTTGATGGCAGAAAGTGAGGAGGAATTAAATAACCTTTTATTGAGGGTGAAAGAGGAGAGCGCAAAATATGGTCTGAAGCTCAACATCAAAAAAACAAAGATCATAGCCACTGGTCCCCTCACCTCCTGGCAAATAGAAGGGAAAGAAATGGAGGCAGTGAGAGATTTTACTTTCTTGGGCTCCATGATCACTGCAGATGGTGACAGCAGTCACGATATTAAAAGACGCCTGCTTCTTGGGAGAAAGGCGATGACAAACCTAGACAGCATCTTAAAAAGCATAAAGCCATGGTTTTCCCAGTAGTGATGTATGGAAGTGAGAGCTGGACCATAAAGAAGGCTGATCGCCAAAGAATTGATGCTTTTGAATTATGGTGCTGGAGAAGACTCTTGAGAGTCCCATGGACTGCAAGAAGATCCAACCTCTCCATTCTGAAGGAAATCAGCCCTGAGTGCTCACTGGAAGGACAGATCTTGAAGCTGAGGCTCCAGTACTTTGGCCACCTCATGAGAAGAGAAGACTCCCTGGAAAAGACCCTGATGTTGGGGAAAATGGAGGGCACAAGGAGAAGGGGACGACAGAGGACGAGATGGTTGGATAGTGTTCTCGAAGCTACCAGCATGAGCCTGACCAAACTGCGGGAGGCAGTGGAAGACAGGAGTGCCTGGCGTGCTCTGGTCCATGGGGTCACGAAGAGTCGGACACGACTAAACGACTCAACAACAACATTGTGGGTTTCTTTCTTTTTTTATAAGATCCTGCTTTTATTCTGTGCACATGTGCCTGCGCGTGCATGTGTGTATCTTTCTCTCCCTTATTTTTAGGCAGGGAGGAATGGGCTGGTGACCAGCTATTCTTCCTCCATGCCTTTTTTCTCCATTCTCTCCTGGTTGGCATACAGAAACACACAAAGGGTTGTGTACAGTACATCTTCCCTGGAAAAGCCCCCACTTCTGCTAGCAGAGCTGTTCCTTCTCCTCCTTCTGCATGAGGGTCACTTCTTATCCACCCCTCAGATTTTACCATGCCTGAGCTTCTGGCACTGTGGATCCACCATGCCTGTGCCTCCCTCCGCCCCGCCCCCCTTATTTCTATCTCAGCTGCTTGAACTGCGAAGCTGCCTGGCAGATCAAGCTGGAGTGCTGGCTGAGACTGAGAGGTGGCCACAGCCGCCTGAGAAGGTTTAACTGTTCTGCGTTGGGGGAGGGGCTGCTGTGCCAGAAATTGGGGGAGGCTATAATGCTTGCAAGGCAGTCCCCAGAATCTCTTGCTCAATCTGCTGGTGGTTTTGCTGGCCACCTGGGCAAAGAAGCCCTGGAGGGCTTGGCAAGCCGAGAGGGAGAAGGGCAGCTGGGCAGGGGCCTGTGGTGACAGCTGGGAGGTGGGCGCAGCTGAGAAGGCCAAAGTCACAGCAAGGAATAAAGCTCTTGGGGGGTGTCGAGGGCTGTTCCAGCTTAAGGAGCAACGTAGTAAAGCCAGGGGGAGGGGAGTCCAGAAGAGGAGCCAAGCAGGATGGGGGGGGGCAGACCACAGATGGATTTGCACAGGATGCAGTTGACAAGAATCACAGGATCATCAAGTTGGAAGGGACCCTGAGGGTCACCTAGTGCAGCCCCCTGCAATGTAGAAATCACAACTAAAGCATCCAAGACAGATGGCCATCCACCTCTGTTTAGGGTGTGAGCAGAGATTCGGCAAGTTTTAAGAGTGGGGACTCCTGGCTTCCAGCAGACGTGCCCCTTCAGGGATATCAGAGCAGCTCAGCCAATGGCAGCCAGAGAATCACCTGTCATTAAAGTGGCACCGCAGGGTCAGAGTTTAGCTTGTGCCACCAAGAGGGATGAAGCAAGAAGGAAACGGAAAAGGGGGGAGGCAGTTGGAGGGCGGAGAAGGCAATGGGGGAGATCCGTCCTCTTCCTAGGGGTTCTTTCTCCTGGTGATGCAGAACCATGGAAAAGCAAGATGACAAAAGTGTGCTTTTGATACCATCTGTGCAAGGAGATGCCTGTTCCTTATATTTCTGTCCTTTAGCCTTCCAGAATTTAATTTTTGGATCTAATATTCTATTTATTCTGGTCTCTGGATTTTGCTCTGCTCTTAAATTGCCCTCAAAGTGTTCTGTAGGTATTGGAGAAACGGGTGTTGGGTCTTCCCATCCACCCACATGTAAACCCCTCCCTTAATGAGCTGATACCCAGATCACTTTTACTCCATGGTGTGCTGTCCACTTCATAGGTAATTAGTTCAGAAATCCTTCAGGCAGAGGGCAAAACAGGGAAGAGGGTAATTGCAGCTTTGTAGAGGTGGAGCTCCCCAAACAAGAAATTTCCCAGCACTTTAAAGCATCAGCAGTGGCCAAAATCCAGCAGGGTTTTGCAGTTACCATGATTCTCTTAAACAGAGCACAACAACAAACATAAGACAAGCGCTGCAGGATCAGGCCAAAGACCATCACGTCCAATCTCCTCTTCTCATAGCAGCCAACTAGACACCTCAATGGGAAACTCGCAAGCTGGACCCAAACGCAAGAGTGACACTCTCCCCACTTGCGATTCCTGGCAACGGTTATTTGTAGGAGCAGCTGCTTCTGACGGAGGTGGAACATAGCCGGGGGGGGGGGGCTAGTTGCCATCCATAGCCCTCTCCTCCAGGAATTTGTCCAATCCTCTTTTAGAGCCAGCTAGGTTGGCACCTCCCTGCCTCTTGTGGGAGAGAGTGCCATAGTTTTAACTGTGCAGGGTACAAAGAAGGACTTTCTTTTGTCTGTCCATTGGCTGACCCCAGTGCATTCAAGTCGGAGGGTGAATGTATCACTTTGTCCGTGCAGTACACGGAAGCCCAGAGGGCTGGCATAGAGAAACGCTGGTGTTTTTGGAATGAGGACAGTGGTTATCCTCTCCAGTTAAAAGGTTTGGACAGCAGTAGCAGTGGGGGCAACGGACCCTCTGCTTGAGAGCAGTGAGAGCAAGTAGCCCTGGGTTAGGCAGAGGAAAGGTCTGGCTAGAAGAGCATCTTGTCTGGCTGTATCTATGAATCTGGTGGCACTCATCTTGCTTCCTGCCCTTTCTCTTCCAGGCATCCAAACTGGAAAAGCAGAGCAGCCTGCCTGAAGGGGATTATGACAATGCCGTTCCTGCGCTGGAGCCCGACGAGACAGGGTAGGCATCAGGAGAGCATGGGCTGTGTATGAGCATTACTGCTGATTAGTATTTATTACCCACACTTCACCGTAAGGGCCCAGAGCAGGTTGCAGCATTAAAACACCATATGAAAAGCAAATTTAAGCAACTTGCAAGCATAAAAGTAAGGTGGGCTCTACAAACTTTGTCTCAGGTGACAAAGGCCAGGGTCAAGAGGAGCCTTTTCAGCCTTTGCTGGAGGCTGTATAATGCAGGCTCCAGGTGCCTCTGTGAGGGGGGAGGTCCCTAGGTCAGAACCCAAGAAGGTCTTTCCTGTGTTTGAGGTGTATATGTGGGTTGGAGCTTTGGACACCCAATGTGCTCACCTTGAATTGGGCCAGGTAAGGAGCTGGCAACCAGTGTGGCTGTTTTAAAACAGGGCTTATATGAAATGTAAATGGGTGGGAAACCCATGAAGACTTCCAGAGGTTTCTTGGCTCCAGCCTCCCGTCATCCCTGAGCATTGCCCATGCTGGCTGCAGGGGCTGCTGGGAGTTGGAGTCCTGCGACCTCTGGAGGGTCCCCCACAAGCAGTGTTGTCCCTGTCCTCCTGGTTTGTAGCTGGGCTCACACACAGCCTCCTCTGCCAGCTGGAGGCCCTCCACCTCTTCCAGGACTCCAACTCCCAGCAGCCAGGGATTGTGGGATCTGAAGTCCAGCAGCGGCCAAAAGTCCACAGATAACACAGGGTCCCTTCAGTTCCTTTCAAAGCGCAACATGGCAACCCTCAAGACTGGGCAGGAAGTTTTGCTGAGCACATGCCTCACTGTGACTCCTGTAATCGAGCCAGGCTGCATTTTCACAAGCGAGTGAAGAAAAGCCCCCCCCCCCCGCCTCCCCGGTTCTCTCCCCAAATGGCCCTGGGTAAAGCTGTAGGCAGTGAGCCAGAGCCTCCAGGAAGCAGATCTTTTCTGGGCCTTGTTCATGACTGCCTACAAGTGGAGGATGAATCTTAGGGTGAAGGAGGTTGCCTGTTCTTTACCTGACAGCCAAGCCCAGCTGGCTAGGGACTTGGGGTGGAGAGCAAAGAGCACCGTTGGCAGCCTTGTAGATGTCCCCCCGCCCACAATTTCTTTAGTGGCTTGTTTTATATCAGTCTTCAAAGGGAGAGGAAAACAGTTATCCTCTGGAAATTCTCTCTTGGCCACTTGGCAGAGATTCTGATTTGCCAGAGACAGTCAGGCAAGTGGCCCTCTGAAACGCTTGCGTGTGTGTGTTGGCAGAATCAGCAGGAAGGCCAGGCAGCGAAGCACCTTCCGACAGGGAGAAGGGCCCACCTCCGAGGCCAAGGACCCAGATGCCAGCCCCAGCCTCCCCAGCACAGAGGACGTAATTCGGAAAACAGAGCAGATCACCAAGAACATCCAGGAGCTTCTGCGGGCAGCTCAGGAGAACAAACACGACAGGTGAGGAGGCCAGGAAGTCAGAGCTGAGGTCCCTGGAAGAAGCGCTTGAGTATCCTGGTCTGCGTTGAGCAAAAGTGCTCTTCCCCCATCAGGAGGGATCCTGGAATCAATTAGATGAGGCAGCATGCAGAGCGATGATGATGCGTGTGTGTCTTGCAAGTGTGGGTTGACGTCCTTCTTTCTTTAAAGAAAAAGAGGCCCAAATTCTTGTACACCTGGCTGGCTTTGCTACCTTTTCCATCCAAGGCAACTGGCAGCTTTTATTTTCATCCTTCTGGACCTCCTAACAGGCCAGGATCTGGTGCTTAAAATCATGCCTTCCTCCTCTTTAGCTGGGAAAGGGTGTGTCTACAAGAGGAGTCCTGAGCTACACAAGTATCTGATGGTGTCCTGGATTTTCCCACGCCCCTTCCTGCTCGCCCCATTTGGGGTTGGAGGGGTGTCAAGAGGCAGAAGTGACCCTGGGAGTTTGGGAGGGGGGAAGCTTGAGTCACATGTGTGTCCTCTTGAGCAAAAGTGTAGGTTATGACAGCTTTATGCGCTCCTTGGTTCTGCAAGCGCTCCGTTGGGCTGTGAGGTGCTCCTGTGCTGAGTTAACTGCAGAAAAACCTCTCTCTCTGTCTCTCTCTCTGGTTTTCCTCCTTGGGGTGCCCAGGCCATTCAGGCACAGCAGCGCCCCCAAGCTTAGGCACAGCCTGGGCTGTTTCAGTCCCCTGGTTCCATGGGCCGAGCGAGCTTCTCTGCAGCCTCTGACCCTCCGGCAGCCTGACCCTCCCACCACCTGGTATTCTGGCCTCTGTCCCTGCCTCCCAGGCACAGTGTCCTTTTTCTTTCTTTGGGGTCCTCCCCTCCCCTCCCAAGCATGGGGTGTTTAGCGGTTATGCAAGAAAGGCTGCAGAACACCCTGGCCCAGCCTGCTCAGCACCATTTGGGAGAGGAGCTGGGGTTTGATGGGAGTGCAGTTTGGGGCCAGCAAGCGGGGGGAGGGTTCCTTCATCCAGCCTGGCATTTTTTGTCTGCTCCGTCCCTGGTACCCTAATGTGCAGCAGTGAAAGGGGAAACCTTCTTTGACCATCCACAGGGGTGTCACCTGCACAGCTGGCACCCTGTGTTTCATCACAGGTTGTACTTGCCTCGTGGGACTTTCTGAGCTCACTTGAGGGCAGAAAACAGAAGCGCAGGCAGCTGATGTCTGAAAGAGAGACCTAAATCCAGATGAAGAATCCTGTACCTCTGAGAAGCCCCACAAGAGCTAAAGGAAAAGGTTGAGGCCCTGGCATTTGGTGATGGGACACCCCCTCCTCAACCATGGAGAAATATGGCCTGGGAACAGGATGAGTGCTAAGAGGCAGGGAGTGGGAGGGTGCAAGGGAGCTTTAGGAAGGTCCTGGCTGCTCTTGGAGCACAGTAGGAGCTCTCTGCTGATCCTAGGTGGGCTTGCTGAAATGGGCTTTTCATTTTCTTGTTCAGGTGAGGGACGTGTGTCCCTCCCACACACAGTTGAACTCCAACTCCCAGCATGGTCCTATAGTCCAGTGGCATCCAGAGGGCTGCACAAGTTGTCCAGCCCTCTTGTACATGTTAAACTGGAACTCACTGCCATAGGAGGCAGGGATGGCCACTGGCTTGGATGGCTTTAAAAGGGCATTGGACAAATACAGGGAGGAGAATAAGGCTCTTAGCCGTGATGACTCTGCTCCCTGGGTCCCATCACCATCCTCCTGGGGTCTGGCGGCAACTGTTTGGGCTCCACATCTGTCTCCACCTCTGGTGGGCTTTAGATGAGACCTTCCTTGCCTCAAGCAACTTTCCTGCATAATCGTCCATGACTGACCCAGCTCCCCATCTCACCTGTCTGCCTGTCTCTCTGTGGCTTGAGTTTGGGGAGGAGCATGGAGGTTGGGCATGCAGCTGGTAGCAAGGAGGTTTGTGTGTGTGTTGACTGGGGGACTAATGCACACATGGCTGGGCCACAATCCCTGGCTAACAGTTCTGCGTGCACCAGTTGGATCTCGTGGGCTGTGTGGGTCTTGGCACTTCAGGCACACAGGCTCCAATCCCTGCTTGCCTGTAACTCCATCACGTCACTTTTTGGGGAGCAATTTTGGACACTATGACAAGCATTTTGCCCCTCCTCCCCGCTGCCACCACTGCTGCCATCACAGAGGAGAAGGCTGTTGATGCCTCCTATCCACGATGGCTCTGCTCTGCCTCTACAGTTGGGGGAAGCAGTGCTTCTGAATCCCAGTTGCTGGAAACTGCAAGAGGGGAGAGGCCTCTGGTGCTTGGATCCTGCTTGCGGGTTTCCAACAGGCATCTCGTTGGCCCCTGTAAGTACAGAAAACTGGACTCGGTGGGCCCTTGGCTTGATCCAGCAGCCTCTTCTTAAGTTCTTAGGACCATTGCTCTCTGAAAGGGACAGTTTGCATCTCCTCTGCTCTCTCCCAGCACAATGAGACTCTTTTCTATGAGACAACTTAAAGCTTTTCTTCTGGCTACTATTTTTATTTTAAAGTCTCCACATCAAGCATTTGGACTTCTTGTGTTGCCACTTGCCAAGGTGCATGAGGTGGGCCTGGATGTGTGGACACCCTTGTTTTTAATGGCTTTGCCTCTGCAGCAACTAATGTCACCTTTTGTGGCCCTGGGGGTGGGGGAACTTGCTTCCCTTAGAATGACCTGCCCCCTCTCTCCCCTTGCAGCTACATCCCCTGCTCAGAAAGGATCCACGTGGCAGTGACGGAGATGGCTGCCCTCTTTCCAAAAGTGAGTAGCCCTGCAGAGGTCAGAGGGGGGCTCTGAATGCGGCAGGGACTCCCTTGTGGTGGCCAGCCTGTGGAAAGGACCAGAGGACTTATTTCATTTCACCTTTATCTCCAAGGAGCTCAAGGGAGCCTACATGGTTCTTCCCACTCCTCATTTAATCCCCACAACAGCTGTGTGAGGTAGGTTAGGCTGAGAGAGGCAGTGACTAGAGACCAAGGTCACACCCAGTGAGCTTCCTGCCCAAGTGGGGATTTGAACCCTGGCCTCTCTGAGGTCTTAGCCCGGCACTCTAACCAGGACACCCCGCTGGCTCTCTTGGGAGAACTCTTACCAGCCACAGGAAGTGGTCTTAGGCCAGACACACCAGGGGTCCCTGTAGCTCGGCACTGGCTGTCTCCATGGATGGGTGGCAGATCTGTAGGGTTTTGGACAAAGGGTCTGCATGCAGAGTGGGCTCCTTTGCCAGCCGTGAAGCTCTCTATTCCCATCCCGTCCTTATTAGTTTCTTTAAATGCAATATTTCATTGTGAGTTTTGTAAATAATAAAATATATTATAGTTATGTAAATCATCTTAATGTCCAGAGACTGGTAACATCTAACCAGATCTAAAGAGAAAGGGAATTCTGACACAATCATATTGTATACAGAGATGTAAAACCTTATGCCATAAATTCCGCTGCTCACACCTGAATCTCTGGCTGAGCGACACAGCGAGAAATAATCCAGGTTTGCCCACACTGAGTGAATAGTCAAAGGACAAGAAGGAGAGTCTGACTAAACAGCAGGAAAAGTTATCTGACAGTAAGGGAGTCTCTCAGAAGGTGGTGGGCTCCCTTTCACTGGAGGTTTTCAAACAAAGGTGGTATGGCTGCCTGTCAGGGATTCTTTAGCTGTGATTCCTGCATTGTAGTGGGTTGGACCAGATGACCCCTGGGGGTCCCTTCCAGTGCTACAGTTCTGATTCTAGGACACTGGAGCCAGTCTCAGCTCCCTGGATGAAGCCTTTCTCCAGGCCTAACTGTAAATCCTCTTAGGTCAGCGGTGGCGAACCTATGGCACGCGTGCCAGAGTGGGCACGCGGAGCCCTCACTGCTGGCACACATGCCATCGGCCCATCCGCGCTGTTGTTTTGTTGTTTTTTCCATTTGTGCTCCCGCTCCTCCCCATGCTACTGCGTGCATCCACTGCTTAAACCCGGAACTTTTCTTTTTCTTTTTTGCTGGTAGCCGGCGATTGTGTTCGGGGATTGGTCTGTTTTTCAATTGGCTACAGCAGTGGCTGTTTCTGATTGGACATAACAGTGTTTGTTATTTGACCCTCGTGATTTTTTTTCTGCACTTTTCCCGGTGCTGGGTGGTAGTTCCCAGCTCCCCCCTCCAAGCCAGGCCCCCCCACTCCCTCCCTCCCCCCCACTCCAATCCTCCGCAGGCTCCTCGTCTCCCTTGGGCTTGACCTGCCTGGGCTAGGAGGGCACCTGTGCCCGCCACCTACCTGCGTGCCTGGCCCAACCCAGCCTCACCCCTTTGCCGTTGCCGGAGGGAAGGAGGGAGGGAGGAAGATGGGGAAGACCACACCGGGATCGCGGCCAGGTAGCAGGCAGGCAGGCACAGCTGTTGGGCTGGCTGGCTGGGGTGGGGGCTCTCGCTCTCCCTCTCTTCCTGTCCGTCACTCACCTGGCCCCAGGGCTGCTCCGTCCTCCCCATCGCATCAGCCTGAGAACGAGCCAGCCAGCTAGCCGGGGAGTGCGCCCGGCGCATCTGGTGGGAGGGGGGAAGACGGAGGGAGATGGCGAGAACCGCGGCAATTTTTCTGTTCTGTCTCTCCCCCAGAAAGCTCAAAAACTTTGGGCACTTTGCAATAAATAAGTGGGTTTTGGTTTGCAGTTTGGGCACTTGGTCTCTAAAAGGTTCGCCACCACTATCTTAGGTGCACACAACGGAAGCAACTGCTGATACATTTTTGCAGTGGAAAGAAAATATTTGGCCCTTTAGCCTATCTTCCTCTCTGCATGCTCCTTTAGCCCCCTGCCTCTGATGTTCATGCAGAAGTGCTGCTCTAGCCGGGTGGTGCCTGCCCCTGTGTCATGCTTCCCCCCCTTTTCCTCTGTCCTCCCCAGAAGCCCAAGTCTGAGCTGGTGCGCACCTCTCTGCGGCTGCTGACCTCCAGTGCCTTCCGACTGCATTCCGAGTGCACAAAGGCCCTTCCGCCAGAGTCCTGCCCCCTGGCCGACATCCAGCTGGTCACCCAGCAGGTCATTCAGTGCGCCTATGACATCGCCAAAGCTGCCAAGCAGCTGGTCACCATCACAACCAAGGAGAACACCAACTGAGGCCGCCGTGTCCCCCCCCCACCTCCGCAGCAGGCCTCCTGCAAAGGGTCGGCTTGGAAGCTGAACATTTTCATGTTTTTTACAGGAATATTTAAGGTGGTGGATTACTTCTTTTTTAAAAAGGAATCTCAGTATTAAAGGGGTTTTGCATGTCCCCCCCCCTCAAAAGGACCCCCCCCCCGAATTAATGTAACCCACTGCCTTATTTTATGCCTGTATTGCCAGTGTAAAGAGGGTGTCAGTGTATGGAACGTCATGAGCCAATCTTCGCATCAACCGCTCTCACAGGGATGTGTGTGTGTATCTGGGGCAGGGAGTGGTGGGGAGGGTCGCACTCTGCACCATTTGTGAACTGAAATGCACATATCAGGATACAGGGCACATATCCCCAAGTCTTGTTATGCAGCTGTTTGATACACCTGAACCACTATGTTGCACGTACCACTAACCTCTGAAGAGCGGGGGTAGGTAAGGACACTCCCCCCAACATTATCCCTGCCAATCAGTCCCCACCCCTTGCGAAATACCAGGCCATCAAAGGCTTGCTACAAAATAGTAAGACTAGCCTCCCGACCCCTTTAATATTTTAGTCTCCTGGGACTCTTCTTTGCTTTCCACGGTGGAAGCAGATGGGAGTGTCTCATATTTTTTTTGGCCCCAGTTCATATAGATCTTTGAGAAAGTGCTTTTCATGACATAACTGCACCACAAAGCTTTCCTAGGGCAGAAAATGATTTTTTGCTTGTCCTGTTTCTGCTCACCCGCCCCCCCTCCTCCTTTGGGGTATCTGCATTCCTGGGAGGATGGCTTGCTGGTGGTGGCTGTGCCGGGAGTGGTGCACTGCAGGGAGTGTCTAGTTGCAGGTGGGACTGAAGGTCCATCTTGGGTGGCAAAGGTACAGTGGAAACCTGCCTGGATTTGGGGAGGAGTGAGAGACTGATTGTCTTGTGTGTTTTTTTTGGGGGGGGGGGGAGAGAACTGCTGGTGTTGAGAGCTGGGCTTGGTGTCCTGTCCCATTTGAGCCCCGACAACCTTGCTTCTTGAGAGCCACTGTGCCTGTGTTCACCAAGGCAGCTGTGCAGGGTGACATTAAGAAAGGGGGCAGCTGTGCAGGGTGGCTAAGAAAGCCTCTGCTTTGCTGTTGGGTGTCCAAGTGGTCCAGTGGATGCCATGGTTTGCAGACAAGATGCCGTGAAGCAGAGTGGCCCAGAGTAGCAGGCTGAACGCGCCTGCTGGTGAAAGGATCATAGTAATTCCTGCTAGGTTGGCAATTTGGCTGGTGCTTCATGGAACGAAACCGGTACCACTGATGGGCATGCATGAGAGAGGTTCCTACACTAGAGCACATTGGTTGCACGGAAGCCCTGCTGCCATCGCTAGGCCTTGAGGGAGTGGTGACAGGTTTGTCTTGTTGGGTTTGGTGGGTCTTAAATAGCCCTCTATGGCGAGAACTAGGTCTGGGTCAGGAGCCTCTCTCCCCCCTTATGCCCAGTTGCCCAGTCTGATCCTCAGTGCTTCAGAACATCCTTTGTGCCACGAGGGGAGTCTTCCCTGGGGAAGGCGGTTCAGGGGGCAAGTCTGCATTGTGTGTGTCTGGGGGAGAGATTTCTGGGATGGTCCCAATAGCATGCAGCATGCTTTGTAGTGATTTCTGGCAGGGGCACTTTAACAAACAGCTGATTTTGTCCAGTGACAGCCCCACTCCCTCCCTTCATCTTGGTGCGTCTGGGCCACCCCACTAGTAAAGGGTTCCGATGAATCCGGAGAAATTCTTATGAATTCTGCTCAATTGCTGAATGGAGAAAGAGTCTTGGGCTACAGCCGGCCTGTGAGAGTTTGGTGCTCAAGGTGGAAAACCCAAAGGGCAGCCTGTGGGCACATCATGCCCAATTCTGTGCACACCTGTCTCATAACAAGCAAGAGCTGTGTGCAAGGGTGCCTTGTGGTGCTCTGGGTTCATCTCCCACTCATTCCACTGCAGCCTTCCACCCCAGCAGGACAAGACCCACTTAGCTCCTCTTCTCTTAAGAGTCTGGCCAAAATGTACGCACAAAACCGAGAGGGTCTCGGGTCTGGGGAAATAGGAAGCTTGAGGCTGGCTGGGCCTGAGCAAGCAAGTCAACCTTCCTCCTGCCCTGCCTAGTGCTCCCCCCAGCAGGCTTTGCCACGGCCTGTGAAGTTGCCAGCTCACTGCAGGGTACTGCTTCTGTACAAGGCAGAGGAGGCAATCTGCTCACCTGCATGCCACTCATAGGAAATGGGCAGACAGGCTGTCTGCTCCAGGGATGCTTGGCTGGCGGTGGAGAGGTTTCTGGGTTTAGAAGCAGCAGTCCAACTTGAGGGGTGTGTGTGAGAGTGTGTGTGTGTGTGTTTTACCCTGTTGGTATTTATATATTAAAAGAAACCAAACCAAGTGCCATAATAATGTTGGATGCTGATGTTACCTTGTAATTAACTACCTTTTTAAAAAGTATTGTACTATTTTTGGGTTTAAAGAAACAAACAAACAAAAAAGGTAGAACAGGTGTCTTGCTTTTTCTATTCTTGTCTCCTGGTTTTGTCTTCTTGCAAACAGTGTTGACTGGCATGAAATGTTGGCTGAGCATAGCTGTCAACTTTTCCCTTTTCTTGCGAGGAATCCTATTCGGAATAAGGGAATTTCCCTTAAAAAAGGGAAACATTGACAGCTATGTGGCTGAGACCGATTTGGATGTCTTTGCCCTTGTTGGGCCTGTGGGCCCATTGCAGGCAGAGAAACTGTTTTGGGCAGCAAGCGCACACTCCTTCCTGCCAGGAAAGGGAAAGCACCTGACCGCTGGGTTGTAGGTCCCTCTCTCTCACGGACAAAGCAAAGGAGCAACACCAACTTGCGTTAAGAGAGTTAAAAAGCTTTATTGAGCTTTTGGACATCCCTGTCAGAGCCTGAATGGGAAGTGCTTGGAGCCTCCCACCCTCTTCTTCCTTGCACTGCTTTGCCAACAGCAATAATAGGTAGCTGCTACTTCCACATCAAAGTTTGGGGAAGGTGAAGGCTTGCAAGGACAGTGTGTGGTTGAGCTGCTGCCTGCTGGCTGAGTCTGTCCACCACCGTCCCATATCTCCCCCAAGTGCCTTGAAGGATCAGCAATCCCCGCCTGCAGAGCCTCTTAGAGCCACAGCTGTGCCTGCCCTCCAGGAAGGGCCAAAGCCTTCAGCTGGAGAGGGCTGCTGTGCAAGGGGGGGGGCTGCAACCCTCCAGCCTCTCTCCTTTTTAATCTATACAAATACTGCCACAGCACCCCCAGCAGGATGCAACCAGGAAGCTGCTCCCACATTTAGGATTTTAATCTACTGAAACTGGAAAGCAAGCCCCCTCTCACTTCTTTAGGTCCAGGCTGCTTTGGGATAGCTGTAGCTCTGGAAAAAAACAGAGAAGGAGAAATGCTTTCAGTTCTTGCAGGTAACACTTTGCCTTCAACCCCTGGCAGATCCCTGACTGAAACTGCTGGGATGGGGGGCAGCTGCATGTGTAAATAAGAGGTGGTGAAGGCTGCCTTGCTGTGCCCCAAATATGTTGGTCCAGGCACAAAACCCCAAACAGTTTGGAAATGCCCGACTCCCTTGTCCAGGACCCATGTGCTAGGAGGCCAGACAGACAGGCTGGCTCCTCCCCCATATAGAGGGCTTGGCTCATCCACAAGAGGCATTTCAGAAACACCCGGGGGACAGAATCACTCTTCTCTTGCCCACAGGATGGGGAAATTCCCTGTTGACTGGCATGAGGCACCAGTTCTGATAGGCTGCTGCCCCCCTCACCTTGTTGCGATAGCCGAGCTCCATCATGCGCCTGGCGGCCAGTTGCTCCAACTCTGCGTTGCGCTGCTCCTGCTGCTTGGCCTCAGCCGCTTCCTCCCACTGGCACTGCAGCTCCTCCTGCTCCTGCCGATGCCGCTCTGTGAGCTGAAAAAGCAATAGGGAAAGGAGAGGGAGAAACCCAGCAAGGTGGGTACATCGTCACAGCCCATGTGAACTATTAGAGCTCACACAGTTAGCAGTCCTCTCTGGACAGCCCACCTACCCTCCTGCTCCCCCCTGTGAGCCTGTGCCTTCCAAGTCCCTCTTCTTAAGCACAGCTCGCCTTGAACTTTGAGCATCATTTTGTCATCACCTGCTGCATGAGGTCCTGTGCCCCCAGCCCTTGATCAGTCCTTCACTTCTTGCTCCCGTCTCTGCCTGACTACTTCCCTTTTGTGTGGAAAAACAGTCCCATTCCTGACTGGGGAGAGGAACCACAAAGCAGGATGATGAAGCAGACCATCTTGTAGCTGACGTGAGGATAACTGCCCTGTATTGTCTAGACTTTGGGGAAACCCACCCAGACACCAAAGGTCTGGACCTCTCCTGCTTTTGGTTTTTGATGGCTGAAAGTGAGGAGGAATTAAAGAACCTTTTATTGAGGGTGAAAGAGGAGAGCGCAAAATATGGTCTGAAGCTCAACATCAAAAAAACAAAGATCATAGCCACTGGTCCCCTCACCTCCTGGCAAATAGAAGGGAAAGAAATGGAGGCAGTGAGAGATTTTACTTTCTTGGGCTCCATGATCACTGCAGATGGTGACAGCAGTCACGAAATTAAAAGACGCCTGCTTCTTGGGAGAAAGGCGATGACAAACCTAGACAGCATCTTAAAAAGCATAAAGCCATGGTTTTCCCAGTAGTGATGTATGGAAGTGAGAGCTGGACCATAAAGAAGGCTGATCACTGAAGAATTGATGCTTTTGAATTCTGGTGCTGGAGGAGACTCTTGAGAGTCCCATGGACTGCAAGAAGATCAAACCTATCCATTCTGAAGGAAATCAGTCCTGAGTGCTCACTGGAAGGACAGATCCTGAAGCTGAGGCTCCAATTCTTTGGCCACCTCATGAGAAGACTCCCTGGAAAAGACCCTGATGTTGGGAAAGATGGAAGGCACAAGGAGAAGGGGACGACAGAGAATGAGATGGTGGGACAGTGTTCTCGAAGCTACCAGCATGAGTTTGACCAAGCTGAGGGAGGCAGTGGAAGACAGGAGTGCCTGGCGTGCTCTGGTCCAGGGGGTCACGAAGAGTCGGACACGACTAAACAACTAAACAACAAAGTCCTACAGGGGCTGCCCAGCTGGCTCCTGAGCAAGACCTACCTGCGCTTCCAACTCCCGCCTGCGCTCAGTTTTCAGCGCAGCCTCCTTTTCCTTCTCCCGGTGCGTCAGCTGCTTGGCCACTTCAAGCTCCTGGATCAGCTGCTCCCGGGACTTCACCGATTCCTGCTGCGCCTGCCTGTTCCTCTCCATCCTCTCTTGGATCTGGCGCTCCCTCTCCGCCAGGACCTGTTTCAACCAAGAGGTGAGAGGGAGGGAGAAGCCCAGGCTCCTGTCCCTGCTGCGCTGGCAACCTGCCTTGATTCTTTCTGCCCCAGGTGCAGAGAGCTCACCTCAGCCATGAGTCTGTCCCGGGCCTTGCGCTCCTTCTCCCACTCTTGTTCTCGCTTCTCCCACACTTGCTTGGCTTCCTCCCTTTGGTGGGGTGGGGCAGGGGTGGGGTGGGAGAGAAAGGAGGGAGTGACTTTGAGTGCCAGAGAGGTGTCATGGAGGACAATGGCCTTTCTCCATACAAGTAGGGGACCCCACAGCTGCTTTGAGAACTGAAGAGCACTGACCCAAAGAAATCATAGAACTACAGAGTTAGGAGGGATCCTAAGGGTCATCTAGTCCAACCCCCTGCAATGCAGGAATCACAGTTACGAGATTCCTCCAAGCTCATCACAGATCCCCTTTGCCAGATCCTAGGAGCCCTCTCCACCCACAAATGGACCACTAGCTATGCTGGCTGGAGCTGATGCAAAACCTGGAGGGCACTAGGTGGAGCGGGGCGGGGGGGAGGCTGGGCTGGCGGCTGCTCTTCTTCAGCTGTCTCCCCACCACCGCAACCACAACAGCTAAGCCACTTTTGCAGGGTGAGGTTTGTCAGCTACAGGGAAGCAATTGCTCCTCTTCCCAGCAGCCTTTGCTTCAGCCACACCGCCGAAGGGAACGCTGGCAGCAGCTTGCTCCACAGCCCGCCCTCCATCCCGTTCTCCCAACTCACCTGAAGACGGTCTCCAGCTCTGCCTCCCGTGCTTTTTCCAGCTGGAGCTGCTCCTCAATGACCTGCTTCATCCAGGCCACGACAGCCACCGCTTGCTCCCGCTGGGCAGACTTCAGATGCTGGTCCTCGTCCTCCTGTTCCATCAGCGCCAGGAGAATCTGCCTGTCCTTCTCCTGCAGAGCAGACCAGAAGAAGCTTCCGTGGGCCAGCAGAGCTCCAGGGCCTCAAGCCAACAAGAGCCCTTCCCAGTCCCTTGGAGTCAGAGCTGCTGGGGACAGAGCCCAGGACCGTCTGTGTGCAAAGGGCGTACTCTGGCATGGAGGCCCAGCCGCTTCCTTAAGGCAGGGCCAAGGTGGCTGGAAGTGATGGGAGGTAGCAAAGGCCTAGCAAACCAAAGAGGATGATCAGGCTGCCAACTGTAGAACAGCCGCCAAAAAAGCAGGAATACCACAGGGAAGGCGTCTCCAGCATTGTTGGCTTTACAAAAAATGTTGAGATTTGGCAGCAGGCTGTGATGCAATCAAGGCAAGTGCCACTGACCATGGGCAGCGTGCAGCTCCTTGTGGGACAGCCATCTTACCAGCCTTCAGTTGTGCTCTGGGCCTGAAGCACAAAGCATTCCAGTGGCACCAACTTACCAGCTCCTCCTGGATCCACTGGGCCCGCCTCTTCAGTTGGGCTTGATACTGGTGCCTCAGAAAGCGCCTGAGAAGAGAGAAGAGGAGAGCCAGACTTTGTAATTCACAGGAAGAGCCAGAGAAAACAAGCAGGGGGGCTTCAGAACTGCCCCAGCTTATTAAGTTCTCAAGCGCAGCTAAAAGTACATTTCAGCTACACAAAAATGTAAACAGCACCCCTGAGCATGTGCAAACTGCCTCACTTTCACCACAAGTAAAGGCACCCACAGGGTCACTTTTGGCAAGGTGGAAGTTGCAGCTGCCTAATATATCTTGTTTGAGAAATTAAGTACTGGCACTGACCCATCCCGACTAGCCACAGATAGGAACCCTGCACCCCTAAGCCTAATTTCAAGCAGGTGTCCTGGGAGGAAGATACAGTGGGAATGAGGGGAAAGAAGGAATGAGATACAAGGCAGGTGTCCCTCACTTATGGCTCTGGCACTGCCAGGAATCCACCCAACAGATTTCTCCTCAGCTAAATAAAGGTTCCCCCATTCCTGCCCTCCTCTCTCACCACCACCACCTCCCAAATCCTTACTTAGCTAGGGAGGGAACTAAATAGCAGCTCTCGGGGCAGCCAGGTGCCCTCTGCCAACCCCCTCATGCCCTCTGCTCTCCAAAAGCCATACCCAAGTTCAGTCTTCTTCCTCTCCTGCTCCTGGCACTTCCGCTTGGCCTCCAGGGCTTCCAGCTCCCAGTGCTGCCTGAGCAGGTTCTCCTCTTCCCTCTTCAGCTTTGTGGCCTGAGAAGAAGAACGGCCCAGAATCCTTCATCTCCAGGCTCACCTCCCTTTCCCAGCAGGAAAGCGGGGGGGGGGGGACGGGACAGAAGCTGCTAGGGAAAGGAGGGGCTGGAGCTGCCCCTACAGCAGAGGCTGCGCACTCAGCATCCCAGATACACATGACCAGGAGCTGCTCAGCTCTTGCACCTCCTTGCCGCTTGCCCCCACAAGAGCCAACCAATTGCGGGCATGTGCAGCTGGGCACCCAACACTCCTCCTGGCAGGGCACATCTGGAGCAGCCACGTGGAAGCGTGGGTTGCACTGACACCCAAAGCTGGGTAAATTTATAACAAATGCCTTCAGTTCATAGCCCCCAAAGGCCACCCTGCCCCTAAATCCCACTTTCTGTGGTGGTCACATATGGGAAGAAGCAGAAGAGGGAGAGAGGCTTGGTTCAGGGATCTGCACCTGCACCAAGGACAGAGTTACTGTCTCTCTTCCCCCAGCCCCCCCCCCCCAAATCTCATCTCTGACTTTTCTTCCAGGAGACTGCCACAAAGAGAAGCAAGACAAGACAGATGGCGGGTGGGGGGTGGGGACTGGCGCTTGCAATCCTCCACCAGCTCCCTTTCTAGCACCATCCCCTCAATGCCAGGCCCCAGCATGTACCTCCACCTCCCGCAGCTGCAGCTCCTTCATCTGCTGCTGCAGGAACTCTGCCTGCTTCCTTTCTTCCTGCTTCCGCCTCTCCTCCTCCTCCTTCATCCTCTCCAGGGCTTCGCTCCGGGCTGCCTCGTATTTGCTTTCTGCACGGATCTTCTCTTCCCGCTCAGTGGCTTCTCGCTGGATCGGGGTCAAATGGAAGCGTGAGCATCCTGTCCGCCTGCTGCCTTCTCAAGGCTGAAGGAGCAGGGAGAAGGGGAGACACGGGGCACCAGGCCCAGGAAGCCTGCAAAGAGGCACACTGTGGCTCCTACCTGTTGCTTCTGAGTCAGCTGATCTCCCCAGGCCTCCACCACGTGATCCTTGTGCAGTTTGGACCCAACCTGGTGGGAAGGGACAGAAAGCAGGAGCTCAGCTGTCTCAATGAACTGCTACCCGTCCCCCATCCTTTGAGCTACAGAACTTGCTTTAGAGGGGAGCAACAGCATTGCTTCCCATTCCAAGGTTTGAGCTGGAGGAAAAGGGCAGGAGCATCCTGATACAAAGAAGCAGGGAGCCAGGGTTGGCCTTGGCACCCAGCATCCTTGGGCAGGATGCAGGACACACTGCCGACACCTGCCCTGCTGCCACCTTTTTCTCAGAAAGGTTTCCCAGCCAGCTATTCCCACCAGCACAAAGCAGCAAGAGTCTAGTGACAATGCTCATACCCCACAATGCCCCAGAGTGCCGCTGGTGCCCCCCTTGCCAGGAAGCCTACCAGGGCCTGAGGAAAGGCACTCTGCCTTGGAGCTGGTCCAGCCTGGATCCTGCCCCAAGAGGAGACTGTCCTACTCCGTCCCCCTGACAGAGCTGCATTCTGTTCTAATGCACACACACCCCAGGATTCCTTGGGGCAAAATGATGCTGGATTGTGCCCTTGTCTCTCACCTCTCGGAGCTTAGCGCTGTTGTTCTTCCAGCACTCGTACAGACAATCCTCTGCAATCTGTTAAAAAAGCAGAAATCAGAATCCCTCATGCAGGCGGCACCAGAGCCTCACCCGCTTGCCAGTTTACTTCTGTTCTCAGACAGAACAGTACACAACAGTACAGGAATGTAAGCATGAATATCATGTTACATCAGCAATGGGAAATGATGCGCCTGCAGTGGCAGAAGAATGCTGCTGGGAAAGGATGCCTTTGGCAAGACCTGGAAGCATCACTAGGCAACATGAAGGTGGCTTTGACCACCAAAGCTGCTGCAAGTCAAGCTTTGGCTCCTGCAGGTGCCTCTGGGAAGCCTGCAAACGCAGCAGCACTTATGGACAATGGGGCACTCACAAAGTAGACTTGTAGAGGAACCAGACTTGCCAGCAGATACACAGCCTTCCCTTCCTCATCCTGGGAAATTCTTACACTCAGCTGGTGTGTGCCACCCCCCAGATGGTTTAGAAGAGCAGACCAACATTTCCCGTGGCAGAGATCACCTCCTGACAATTCTCTCAGCCCTCCCAGTGCTTCTGTGAATGCTTCTGAATGTCGTCCTATGAGGAAGAGCCCAAAAGACTCTCTGATTTAAGACCCTAACAAAGGATTTGTCTCTCTATTGTAACCGAAGGAAAGTTGCAGCGGGTTGGACTAGATGACCCTTGGGATCCCTTCCAACTCTGATTCTATGAGAAATAGTCTTCCTTTCAGACTGACTTGTTTTCTCCGCTCCTCTCTGGCTGACTTCAGCTCGTCATGTCTCCGCCTCTTTTCACTCAGGTCTGCATCCTTGTTCAGCTGCAGCTCCTGCAGCTCTGCTGCCAGCATCTCACGCTCCTCAAAGAGCAGCTTCTGGAGCTGCCTGCGTCTCTGCTCCAGGCTGAGACACTTCTCTTCCTTAAGCTTCTCACGGTGATAGGCGGTCATGCTAGCAAAGGTTTTAAAAAAGAAAAGTGAAGATGAAAATGGTAACATTCTGCTGGTCCCAACTTTGATCGCTTTTTCAAGTTTAGCTTCTAAAAACAGCCCTGACTTCCCTAACCTTCTTTAAGGATGTCCTATTCTCTTTACTGGGACGCGGGTGGCGCTGCGGGTTAAACCACAGAGCCTAGTACTTGCCGATCAGAATGTCGGCGGTTCGAATCACCGCGACAGGGTGAGTCCCCGTTGCTTGGTCCCTGCTCCTGCCAACCTAGCAGTTCGAAAGCACGTCAAAGTGCAAGTAGATAAATAGGTAAATTTATCCGGCAGGAAGGTAAACTGCATTTCCGTGCACTGCTTCAGTTCGCCAGAAGAGGCTTAGTCCTGCTGGCCACATGACCTGGAAGCTGTATGCTGGCTCCCTCGGCCAATAAAGTGAGATGAGCGCCACAACCCCAGAGTCGGCCACGACTGGACCTAATGGTCAGGGGTCCCTTTACCTTTATTCTCTTTGTTGTGGCACACAACGCTGATGCTGGCGCTCCCAGTTTGCTGCAAGCTTGCAGAGAGCGGTCCTTTCTTTCCTGAAGAAGTGTAAAAAGTCTGACCCTCTCTCAGATTCTAGTGCTTGTTTACACTTCAGCTATTTTACTTGCATTTCAGCTGCCGGGGACAGCTAACAGGGCTGTGGAGGAGGGGCCAGGGCCTTTGCCAATGCTGCTCTTTCCCTTTCTTGTGTTTGGACAGAGTTAACAGCAAATGCAGCCAAAAATTCTACCCAGGCATTATTCAAGTTGCTGCTTCTCCCCACCCTGCTATGGGTCCCCACTGCCCTAGCCTTGCCTTTGCTTGTAGGAGTGGCGTGAACTCCATTGGGCCTGCTTTGAGCTGTAGACCCCAGACTGTTGAAAATAGCGGCTGTTCAGCTCCCACAGTTTCCGGAAACGGGCTTCTTGCTCACGGTGGTGCACAATCTGCTGCTCAAGGGCTCTGCTGCGGTTGCTCCAAAATGAAGGGATTGTAGGCAACGCCATCTGGGCAACTCTGGAAACTCTGGATTAAACACCTCATTCCTGAAGGACATGAGAAGTATTAGTTTTAACAGGTGCATGAACCATCAGCCCACCGAGCTCCACTCCCCATGCAGGCCAGCCGGCCCAAGCCCCCAGGCACTCGGCATTCCATGGCTCAGAGCCTCCCCAACACACACTCTGCAACACAGACCTGGAAGAGATGGAGAGGAGTGTGTTTTCCCAGCTGCCTAGATATATTACGGCTGCAATGTTTAGTCCATTCTGTCACTTAGATCAACTAAAAAATTGGATCAAATATAGGAAGTATCTGTTGGTTGATTGGGTAGCAGAATATTTTAAAAGTTATTCACATAAGTGGGAGCTGCAAGGAGTTTACTGCCGCCCTGCCAGGCCACTCTGCTCCAGGGGCCTGCTGTCCTGGGACTGGAGGACAGATGGGCAGCCCACTCTGGCCTTTGCCACTGGGGAGCAGCACCTGCTGCCTCTCAGGGAGGGTGGCTGGGAGATGCATGACTATTAAAAGGGGTTAGGCAAACGCATGGCAGGTAGAGCTAGCAGAAGCTACTATAGCTGTGCGCCGCCACCACTGCCAGAGATGGCAGGCCTCTTAGCAAGAGGCGCTGGGGCCCACAAGCAGGGAGAGTGCTGGGGCACTCACGTCCAGCTTGCAGGCATCTGAGTCCGGTGAGAACTGAATTTTGCAACGGGGGGACCTTGCATCTGATCCACCTTCAGGACTCGGAAGGGGGCAGAGGAACCAACTAGTGCCATCCATCAGCTGATGGGCTGCATTGTGCACTTTGCCCTCGGCTATATTTCGATCCTGCAGGCAGGAACTACCTTGTCTGTTCAAATCTGCACTGCAGCTAGAAGACTTAAGTGCTTTGCGCGTGTTAATTGTGTGCGTACCAAGCATCGTCCTAGGACCTGCGACGGCCTCCCTATTGCCTCGCCCCAGCAGAAAAAAGCCCTTTCCGAAATGGCAATGCTCTGACGCGCGAGCGCACCAGGAAAGAGCAGGCCGCGGTTTTCGCAGGCTCCTCAGCGCCTGACGGGCCCGGGCAAGGCCATGAAGCCCCCGGGATGTGAGGCGGGGAGGGGGCCGCCGCTGCTGCTGCCTCCCGGCCCAGCCTGCCTCGCATCCGCCCCTCGAGATCCCTGGATAAAAAAGGGGGAAGGAAATGGAGATGTGATCCATTCAGTCCTCAGTCAGGGGGCCCTCGCCGCGAAAGAGCCTGCGACGTCACACAGTCGACGCCGTGACGTCAAAAGGCGAACCGCTTTCACATCGACGCGACGCGCTTCTATGCGCAACACGGCGGAAGCTGTTAAAAGAAAAGGTAAATCCTGTATTTAAATATGTAACAACCACAGAGCGATAGCCAACTACCGCCACCCACCTGGGGCCCCAGACGACTCCTAACGGCTCAGCTCCTTCCGGTGCCGCCAAGCGGCTCCATGGCAACACTTCCGGGCCGGGCTACGGGGGCCGCCGAGGGACACGCCTCCTCCGAGCGCTCCGCGATTCCCGTCCCGCCTTTCGAGACGGACGGGAGCTGTGGAACCGCCGCAGAGATACGAGAAAAGTTGAGAGAAGCACCTTGCTTCGCACGCGAGTCACTTCCGGGTCCCCGTCCGAGACTCCTCCTTGCGAAGTCTGCGCTCGTTTCTTTGACCAGGTCAGCTGAGGCTGGTGGAGGTTGTAGTCCATCTACTGAAGGCATTCAAAGACCTTGTGAAGCCAACTGCTGGTGGACTACAACTCCCATCATCCCTAGCTGCCAGTACCAGTGGTCGGGGTGATGGGAATTGTAGTCCAAAAACAGCCGGCGAGGCGACCCAAGTTTGGGCAACCCCCTTTGAAACCGTCCCGGGCTTCGCCCAAAGAATCCTGGGAACTGTAGTTTGTGGGGGGGGGGTTGAGAGTTCGGAGGAGACCTTCCCTGCTCTCCTCGCAGAGCGGCAGTGCCTCTTCCCGGAGGAGGAGAAGCGGGGAATCCCCTGCTGTCGCTCCGCCCCGTAAGCCCAGGGGCGCCGATGGAAGGGCCTCCTAGCGCAGTCCTGGGCTGGTGCGGATGTGGCCGAGATGCCAAGCGGGAGCTTCTTCCCTTCTAGGGCTGTGCCTGGAAGCAAGGCAGCCCTTTGCATGCACTCTTTTTCTGGAGCTATTGGCTGGAGGTAGTATTTGTCGTCTCCTGCTGCGCGTCCTGCTTTCTGCTCGGATTCTCTTCCCTGTCTCTGGCTGTTGCCCTCCTCGCTTCTGTCTGCATTTCATGTCCTTAATGCACTGGACCCCCGAGGTCGCAGAGGGTGTGGGGCTTGACATTTATTTCAGAATCTGCAAAAATAAAGGGACCCCCCCCCTTCTCTTGCCTCTGCTCCCTTTCTGCCCCTTCATCTTTTTTCTTTTCTTTTTCTGTTGCAAAGGTGACTTTGGTAAGTGAGTAGAGGACTTGAATGGGCCCAAATGAGATTAACAGATTAACAAATTATGTAGAAGAAATGCTTGTGGCCAGGATGTAGAGATATGGGAATAGTTCAATATGTATGTTGAATCCTATGATCACAGAATCTGAATGTTTGAAACCCCCATTGTTCTAGGCACATTTTGCGACAGGGAATTTCATTAGCACAAGCAGTTTCTGAGCTCTGGGAGCAGTACTGCACCTAAAATTTCAGATTAAAGCTGCAGAGTGGAAGGAAAGGAGGACCTTTTTCTGCCTCCAATTTAAGAATATTAGGGGGGTGGGCAGGGAAAGGACTAGACCATGTGAAAAATGAACATAATATTTTAGCTGCAGTTCATTCATTTTCAGCTTTGTATTTTTCTTATTAAAAAAGTGCACCTAGACATTCTGTTGTTGTGCCCATAACCAGCTCCTAGCTTCCATATCTCAGTTTCTAACACTGCAGAATCTATAAGTTTAAAAATTATATTGGTTCTGCTCCTGTGCTGTACAAGCCATAGGTTCTCACAACTAAATCTCACATACTCCATTTATATGCTACACTTTATAATCTCCTATCAGTTTACCTAATAAAACTGTAAAATAAGGTTTAATTTCCAGGAGAGTAAATTGCAAGAGCACTTTTTCTGCTGAGTTGCTTTGCAAATTGACATTCCTTGTGATTTTTTTGAAAGTCACTTTCTACTCAAAGGCGAAACAAGGCTTCAAAATCTTGAATTTAATTAAACATGGGGGGGCATTGCTATGGTTCCTGTTTTTCATCCTTTTGGGAGGCTATTTTTGCTCCTGTAAATGCTGGAGTTGAGAGAGCAACTTGAACACAACAGCAGCTGCAACATTCCCAAATTTTTCTCCCTCCTCCCCCCCAATTATTTTAACACCACCATGGAATCAGGGGTTGGGGAAACTGCAAAAGCTTGCTCCCTCTTTGGGGCTGTTTTGGCTGGTCCTGATTGGGTGGTTTTGCCTTGTGGTGGATTTGGGAGTTCATTGCTTTGGCCTCCTGTGTTATTTGTAAAAAGCAGCTCTTGGGACAAGAGCATAGTCTACAGTCAGCATGGCAGACATCTGATAGTTTGTGTGGAAGTCCTGACACCTTCGGCTTATGCAGAATATAGACTCTAGTCTTCAAACAGAATTTAAAAGTACCTTCTGAGCGTGTTTACCAGGAAGTAACCCGTTCAATGGTGTTTACTCCCAGGTAAGTGTGCATAGGGTTGAAGCCTAAACCTGCAATCCCAAACACATTTATGGGGGAGCAAGCGCAGCTGAACACAGTGGATCTTACTTCTGAGTAGGCATATACGACTGTGCTGTAAGACTGCGATCTTGGGAGTAAGTTCCTTTTAGCTCAAGCTGAATTTCTGTAGGGATTCAAGACCAAATGTTTATGGGGTTTCTGTATCACTGTAAACTGTTCCGGGAATGAAAGCAGGAGTGTCATAGATACAGAAAATCATTGTCATTATTAAAAATTAAAATTAGAATTATTATAGAGGGCAGGATTCCACACCTTCTGAGATTCATGTATTTCTACCGTGGCCACACCTAGACTTTAAAAATGTATCCAATAAAGCATTTTGGTTTACTTGTTGGGCATGAAAATATTGACAATATTAAAATTGTTTGCAGTTTGTCTTGGGAGGAGCACTAAACTTAGCCACATCATAATTCAATCTCTTTGCCAGTAGCTGATCCATCTTCACAAGGGACAAAATGTGTGACTGGTGCAGTTTTTATGGCCATCTGGCAGCTGGTGGCATTTGGGAGGTGTACATGTTGTTCGAAAACAGTTGTCAACCTTTGTCCCACTTGCATCCCAGCCGTCCCACTTGGAGAGCAGCAGATGGCTTTGGGGTGCAGCCAAGCAGAGGATTGTCCCTCCTGGCATCAGCTTCCTCGACCTTTCAGTCCCCAAAGATGTTTCCACGCAAAGTGAAAAACAGATATTCCAATATGAACTTCCAAAGGTGCAGCTTTGGAAAATCCTTGCAGTAGTATTTGAAATGGCATGAAGACATCAGTTGGTTTAAAATAGGCTTAAAATAGTTAAATTCCCTAAGAAGTGTGCACCAAATTGGGGAATCCCTGGAAAAGTTATTTGCTAGTATTTATATCATCCTTCCCCTGCCCACTTCTAAATGTGATGTCTGAAGTGGCTTAGTATAAACACAGTGCAAAGTTTAAAAGCAACATGTTGGCCGTTTTTGAGATATTAAAACAATGATATTATTAAAACTATACCAAAGCACAGTGATGAAGCAGAAAAAGTAATAGCTAACAGAGAAAGCAGGTGAAGACAAAAGAACCAAAGGCTGTTATCTAATACCCTCTTAGCTGGGAGTAAACCCTTTGAATTTGATGGGGCTTACCTTTGAATAGGCACACACAACAGAAAAATCATGAGCTCGCAGTTTGACAGAAGTTCCTAATAGTGATAACCTGAACTAATGTGGCAGGGAATTCCGCATGCCAGTTCTACATATAGGCAAGGTTCTGTGTGTACCTAATTTGTGCTCCTGTACAAGTTGCCTTTGTTCATGTTTCAAGTTGGAGGAGCCATGGGGGAGAGGAACCTGTGCTGGGTTCTAACTCTCACTCCCCATAACCAGTTGGCAGTTCTGGCTGATGGGAAGGAGTCCAGCAACATTTGCCAGGCTGCAGGTGCTTCCCATCCCTAGTTCAGTGGGTTGAAAAAGGACCTGTTTCTGTTCTGTATGTCTTCCAAACTTTATTGATGCAGGAATACAGATAGATGTTTCGGGGGACGCTCCCCCCCCCCCGTCAGTGGTTATTTCTTGATATATTGCCTGGTCAAAGGAGGTGGCCAATGCTATAATGAGCCACTCTTTCCCTGCCCCCCTCCCGCTGCAAACTATCATCATGTTACCATGCAAATGAGGGGGGTTGTTTTGACTCCTTTTTTTGGCCTGGCTCAGGACCAAGCTTTAGGTTCTTCACAGCAACAGCTGCCAAGCTCCTTCTCAGACTACATCCTTCTGTGCCTGGATGGGTGCGGTGATTCTCTAGTTCTTGAGAATGAAGAAAGGAGGTTTGTAGGTTGGGCCGCTTGGTGGTGAGGGGGCTCCTTGGCTCAGAGAAGCTGGTAAGTGGCAAAAACCAAAGGAAGCTCGTATTTCTGCTAATGGTTATTTGTTTGTTTATGGTGCAGAGCAACTTCTACAGTCACCATAGAAATATGTCTAGAGTTGAATTTGGCAGGGGGTGGAGAAGAAAGTGCCCTCCATGTCTCAGAGACCCCTGTGAAGAGGGGCTGGTTGTTAAGCCACTCTGGGAATTGTAGCTCTGGTAGGGGAATAGCAGTCTCCTAGCAACTCTCAGCAAACTACAGCTCCCAAAATTCTCTGGGAGAACCCATGACTGTTTAAAGCACTTTAAAAGTATGAAGTGAAGGTGGCCTTACTTAGGAGTAAG